TGCGATGGCTTTCCCGACGGATTTTATAGATTTGCGAACTTGTCAGTTCTTCACCGCCGCATTTGAATAGTTCGACCAGAAATTCATCGACACCCGCCGTTTTATTGTTTTTTAAGCGGACAATTGCTATTCGAACTTTTTCTTCTTCTGGTTTCCTTCCTTAATTTTGTAATAGCTCTTGATTATTGTATTCTTACTTTATTTTGCTTACCTTTATGTAACGATGATTTCAAACCACTTAATGGAGTAACAAAGTTAGGTTTTCCTCAAAATTCAATACTGTATTGGATTAATTATTAGAAAATCAGTGTTAAAGCTTTTTAAATTTAGTGTCGCTCCCAATTTCAAACGGAACCGTTATTTCTACGCCTACTCAAAGTAGCTTCCTCATTAATATTAACCTCTTCGTATTTATATCGATTGCCACTAACGATACCAAAAAATAACATCTAAATATAACAGTACACAAATAAATTAACATCCATAATGTAATTAGAATTCATTAATTGCGAGTGCTTTCGTAAGTAACTTGATATTTTTTGTTTTTTTTTTTTGCAAAAATAATAAACATTTGCATATAAATTGCACATTCGTAGACATACTTTTTACAGTCATTGTAATTTTCTAAAACTACAGATGTACATTTGTAATATATATACATATGTATGTATTTAAGTGTTCACACTCTGTTATACTCATTGTCACAATTCCTCCAGCGCTCCTCAAATACTTGTCATATGTGCACAATTTAATGGCATATTCGTCTGGAGCTAATTACTGCGCATGCGTATTCCGGACGATTTTGGTCAGTGTTGTATATTGAGTGCTACTGAGAAAATAGCAAAAACGAGTAGTATGTGCTCAAAATATAACAAAATTAAATTCGCAACTCTCTCACACTTATATATGTATATGAATGAAGGTATGTATGTATTTATGAATTTAATTCAATGTGATGGAAAACAACGATTTTCTGTAGCGGTACATTTAATGCAGAGCTCTGAAAATTTTCCCTGTCTAGTGTAGTAAATTTATATATAGCTTAGGATTTGAAGTGTTACATATGTATATACTATTGGTATTTAATTTATTATTTACACACACATATGTATAAATGTACGAGTATTTTGCGCTTTATGACTGCTAAAGCCAATTTCGGCTGAGCTTCTCTTCCAATAAATGTTGTGACCTACAATTTATTTTAAGCCGCCACCGATATTGCGGAGCTTTGATTTTAGGTCAGAACTATACTCGGAGAGCTTGACTTTCCCAATTAGAACAATTCGGCCATGCCATGCAATATGTCATAGTCGACCACTTTCAGTACCAATATGTAATTCGTAATGTAATGTGTGTAGAATACCAAATGTGATACTCTCAGATGGGTTTTTGACAAATTAATGACACAAAATTTCAAATCTGAAAAATCAGTCGTATACGAGTGTATGTTTTTGTGGTTCCATATAAACGCACGGACAGGCGGGTATGGCTAAAACTATCGAATTCGTTGTTCTATTCCGTTCGGTATACATTTTATTCGGGTCTAACGCTACTCTTTCTGGTACTTACATACATAATTCGGACCAAAGGTAATACACCTGTCCTTGCGCACTCATAACCACTCCGCTATTGCGACTGTTAATCATTACTAATTAACTTTTTGTTTCCATCTCTTGGATCGGACAAGATACTATTAAAAAGTAGAATTTGATAAGAAATTTCTTTAAAAATGAAATGTGTAATAAAAGTGTGAGCCAGTGTTTTTTAAGAAAGAAATTCTGAGATATATTAATTTATAATAATACATCCGAATATAGGTCAAGTTGCATTAAATTGAAGCCCTTATTTACCGTTTTGCTCCTTAACTTAAATGTCATTATGCCTTCTATGAGAGAGAAGCTTTTCTCTCTATTTGCAAAATATTGAGACAGTCGATTTATCATAGGCTTCTCCTAGAGCGAATTCTTCACCAGCTAGTTCCGTACTTTAAGGTAGATTTATAAGAACCAAATCAACCAAACGCTTGGAGCTTTTAGCGAGTCACTATAGGTGTTGGTGGTCTGGCGTTGCTCCCCTGAAACACAAGTCTCCTCCCGTTGGCCAAACCTTGGCGCTTCTGTGAAATTCCTTTCTGCAGGCGGTTCAATTTGTTGGCAGTACAGGTACGATTTAAGAGACAGTAGGGGAGCAGTACATAGTGGATAAATTCCTTGCCAATCCCACCAAACACACAACAAAACCTTCCTAGCCGACAGTCCACCACTTTTCATTACCAGTCAACATCCGCTTGAGAATGGGTCGATATTGCTTTTTGTGTATCTAGCCTTTTCGTAATCCAATCGCACTGATAGAACGCGAGATACAGATCATCAAAACGATTTATTGAGAAAATAATGGATGACTGTAGCTTGATCAATATGTACGCGTCCATAAGCAATAGAAGGTTTTTGAATAATTATTTGTATGTTACCTATTGTCTATCTAACGGTATCTCTAGAAGCAGGGAAGCAGTTGACAGGACCACAAGGGAAGCATGGCTAACGAAATAGTTAATGAGTCTTGCTAACGAACCAGTACAGGATATACAAAAGTCGGTAAAAATTCTCTACGACATAATGAAATTTCCAAAAGAGACAAAAAGTGAGATGGACCGTAATAGGGACATGCAAAATCCCAAGATCATGTGCCATCAAGACTATAGGATAGTTATTGGTCTAATGACGGATCACAACTTACATACAGTTTGGTCATTAGTACTAGTCACACATGTACCAGGTGTAAAGAGGAAGGCATGAGGGGAACGTTAGAATACCTACTCTGCCGAATATACGGTATTAGCCGGTACTAGTTTTAGATATCTCGGAGCTTCGTAGTTCAAAAAAAGAGGCTTCAAATTTAAAAATTACAATTTTGGCAAAAGACGTTTACGTGCTATACGTCGATTACTTTAGAATGCAATAAAATGGGCCACCGTCTGCCACTACAAAGGACCAACAAGCCTATGTAAGGCGCATCAGCCGACTTATGTAAGCTAACCTAACGTAATGATATCAGGTACTTTATTCTTTGAAGCAATCAATGAATGTTCTGAAATACGATCTGTGGCGTTGAAAAATAACTTAAAAGAGCTTCTGCAGTAATTTTATAAAAACACACTTGAGTCGTGGCCATCATAAGGAGCCTTATACTTTAGATAAAACGAGTTCTCGGGAACCGGCGAAATCAAGTTACAAGTACCTGGACATTTTATTAGATTCGGTGAGTTATTGAGTTCGTAATTATAGTAATTTGCTGTAATCACTTCGATGCGTTAAATAATTTGGATTTCAAATTAAGCAAGCAAAATTGAATTTATAATGTATCTAGACTTCATATGGAACTTTAAAGGTGCAGGGTTATTCAAAACCTCTATCATCGTAGGAAGGCAAAGTTTAAATAAGTTTAGGAATAGTGAAAAATACAACTGAAAATACAAATGAAGGTTCGAATATTGATGAAATTGAGGGACCTTGAAATTCCTTTTTCCTTGTGTCGGCATAATTTTCCTCTCCACTGATATATTTGCCATCGCTCTAGCTTGTTTAGTTCGCTTACTGTGTCGTGTTGAGTAAACGTGTGCTCGTGCTCTTAGTCCCGGAAACCAAACGTCAAAGCTCACAATCATCGTCCACAAAGAATTTCTTCCACCGGGGCAAACCGTAAATCAAGTCTACTATCGCTAAGTACTCGAAAGATTGCAAGAACGAGTTAACAGTGTGCGCCCAGACTTCGCTCGTACGGGATCCTCCATCACGACAACGCGCCGTGCCACACCGTCCTTAGCCAATCGACGCGTTCCAGAAATGTTACGAAGTATTTATGATCGGTTATCTAAAGGCTTTTCTAGTAGGAGGTGTTCATATTCAAATAAATTTTTCCCTTAAAAGATCGACGGTTTCGATGAAATTACACTTTGTCAAGGTTAACATTTAATTTCGGCCATTAAAAATCATTTATTATCTCTCGTTAGCGCAATCCGTTCATTTTAGAAAAAAAATAAGGTTCAATGCCCTGGCCTGACATATTCACCGCACTAAAGAGTTACACGTTTAGAATGGATCGGTTATTCAATACAAAATTTTCGGTTTTCCGAGCCTCAGATGCGACAGTTTTGTTGATTGACAGATTGATATGGCCTCATCAGTCCAGATGATTTTTGATGAAATTTTTATAGTGAATTTGAATCAATTCAGTGCATAGTTAAAGCATGTATCGTTCCATTTTTTATTGAAAATACCATCTCCTATTAGAAAACACTTTATATATCCGCAAGTCGGCTTGGTCATTTTCTAAAATATCTCAAAAGCTGAGGGACTAGTTTGCATACAAACAGGCAGACGGCGCCGATCGGTATAAATTTGGATGGATCTACATATATCTTCTGTTTTTGGTACTCCATACCCACGAGAGATAAAGAGTTGAATTGCGTAAAAACTAAGCCGAAGATAAGAGCATGATGACTGCGTAGAAAATAAAAAAACTCCAATTAAATAAAATTTCTTCGACCTTGCACCCTTAAATTGTTTATACTAGCAAAGCACTCGCCTTTCGAGCTGTGTGTATCGAGCTGTTGTATCAAAAAGTCGACCGACTGTAGCGTAAAACGCCGGGGTGGAAAACACATGTACGACGCCAACATACAGACAACCATATGCGACATACATATGCAAGGTAGATTGTTAGAGAAAAGGGGCCGAAATCAAGAAAAGTGCAAAAGAAAAGTAGAAGTGACAGACTTTGTATTGTGAGATTTTGGAGCGTTTAAGTGAATTGCTTTTCTAGCACGAGCATCTAACAGTATGCGCGCTCATAGCATGCGCTCCCTGGTGAGACATACATACACACACACACACACACACACACACCAGAGCATGACTTCTAGATACTTTATTTTCCCTAATTTAACTCAACATCAATGAACAATAATGATGTTGACAGCCTCGACGACAACGACAACCAGTCGACGCAGTCAGTCTAATAATGTAACTCAAGTTGATGTGTAACAACGAGCTCGAGCTAAGAGATTGCGAACTGTGCAAAGTTGTAAAGTTGTGAAGGAAGCAAACAAAAAAAAAAAAAAGCAGAGAATTTTGCTTTTTTCGGGGGAATACGGAAATGAACAAAAGCAGAAGAAGTGCATAGAATGCGCGACGATGTTGTACAAAATGTGCATGTATGTATGTGTATGTATATACGTTAATGTCAAAATAATCGATAAAACAGACAAATGTAAAAGCCGCTAAAAATAATTTATTTGCAACGGCGGAAGGGTTGGCAAAATTTTACAAAAAAAAAATATACAAAAACAAAGCAAAATAACAGTTAAGTGTTTGAGAAATGTTGAAGTAAAACTGTAATTGCAGTAGCAAAATAATTAAAGAAAAATGAAAAATCAAAGCACACACCAACACACCGTCTAACGCAACCGTGTGTGTGTGTGTGTGTGTGTAAGCGCGCAGCAGAGTGTTACAAACGTACAAATGCAAGCGGACCGTTAAAAGGAAAGGAAAAGTGCTCATCCGTTGGCTATGGATATTGTTTATACACATGCATAAGAATACGCAGCAGCATAAGAGCTTCTGATTGCATACACACTCGTACATATGTGCATACATATCTACGTGTACACACACATGCTAACATACGATTTTCTTTGTGGTGCTAACTGAATTGGTAGTCAACTCAAAAATAAAATCATAAATGTCTCTAACTCCTAAGTATAAAAATATGTTGTTGTAATCATCAAAGCGGTGGGAGGAAGGAAAAAATTAGCCAAAAATCTTTGTGTCTCTATTCCTTCAGCGTGCATTGATGATGTTTTGTATTTGCACCAAAGTGACCTTTCACAGTTGGATACGAAATCGAAAAATCAGCGCTGTGCGTTCACACTCCCCCAACCAGAGCATTAACAGTAGCAATAGCACCAGCGCTAGCAGTGCGAGTTGTGGCGGCGTCAGCGTCAGGGTTGGCGGCGGCGGCGGCAACAACGGCAACAACAACAACAAAAGTAACAACGACAACAACGACATTTTATATCCTGTAAAGGCACTGCTAACAAAAATATGAAAAAATCGATGCCAGACTCCGATACTTCAGTCAGTCAGTCATAGCCGCAGCCGTAGCTGTAGCCGTAGCGGTAGTCTCATAGCCAAAATAGCAGCAATAGCAATAGGAATAGCAACGGCAAGAGCAAAAGCAATAGCAATAGCAACATAAGTAGCAGTGGCGAGAAGCAAAAGCTCGCATAACAACAACAGCAACAACGACAACAACAGCGACAACAATAACAGCAGCACTGTCAATTGCATTGCTGAATTAAATTCATTCATCGTCGTCGCACTTTTGATATGTGGATTTTCACTGATTTTATTTGCGGTGCTGCTGCTGCGAAAAAATTTCTGTTTCGGTGGGCATAAAAGGAAAAGGCAGGAATTGTTGTTACATACGTGCATAAATACATATATATATATATATATATATACATATAAACATACATACATATATGTGTTTATATGAAGTTGTTGATTTTCCGGGTAAATATTATTTGTGTGCAAAGTGTAAAGAATTTTTTCCATATACATATACATACATATATGTATGTATACATACATACATACATAAAGCCACTGGCATTAAGTTGAAAAGTGTGTTTTATAAAATGAAATGATTAGCTTAAACGAGCTTAAATGGAAAAATAAAAATAAAAAAAGGAAATAAATAAATAAATAAGCAGATACCAAAAAAGCAAATAGTGTAAAATAGCACAACGAGTGCAAAATTCAAATACCAAATAAGTAGCAGCAAGGCTTTATGAAAATTATGTACCCCGATACATTGTATACCCACATACATAAGTTATGTGCGTTTGTAGGTGTTTTTGTACTTGCTAATAATGAATATGTATAAATCTGTTATATTTATACATATTTACATACATTTATTATATGTATGAAGTACATTTGTGCCTACCTTCAAGTATTAGTTACCTTTGTACAATATATATACGTACATAAATACATGCATATATATTAGTATTAAAAGTATACGAGTTTATGTGTTTATAACATAAATATATACATATATATATTCGTAATATAGAGATTAGTAGCTCTAGCCGGTGCAAATAATTATACATAAATAAATATAGTATAAAGCGTGAAAATGTGCTTAGAATACATATGTATGTGTGTAAGTGTGTGTTTGTGGAAAATAAAAAATTAAATGACAAAAAAATTATTTTTTTCTTTACATTACTGTGCAGTATAATTGAAAATAGTTAAAAACAAGTGAGCGAATGTGACACAAAAAATTGCAAGTAATTAAAATAAATTGACAAATGCATACATACATACATACTCCTGTAAATATGAGTGCATGGCATAAATATGGCGTAAAATATTTAATAAAACAAAAAAATTTATTTGCAATAACTTCAATTTCTCACCTCACCCTCACTCTATTTATCTCTGTTTCTCTTTCTCTCTCTCTCTCTCTCTCTCTCTCTCTCTCTCTCTACTCGCATACGCAGAATTTTATAACTTATTATACTACGCTTAATTAAAATAAAAGAAAATAAAAATAAATTAATATTAATTAAAAATATAATGGCTACTTCATCCGATTTAATACATCAACCCGAATCCAATAACGGTTCAGATGAATCAATTAGCAATTGTGCGAACTCTAACAATTTGATAGAGCCGCAGGTCGATGAAGAATCAATACAAACAACTAATGCTGATTCCGAAGCAACAACATCACCTGGCGTCCACGAAAACGAAGACGATGACACCAAAATGGATTTCAGCGCAACACCATGGTAGGGACAAAGCAACACACACACACACACATACACAGACATACATGCATTGCAAATATATGTAGCATGCAATTGATGTTAAGCAAGCAATGAAACAAAAAACAAAAAAAAAATAGTTAAAATTGTGTTAGCTTGTACAGACCTTGTTTAACTAGGAATTTATCACCCACTCCACCACTACCTACATATTTGTATGTACATACACCTGCCACACGAAATATTCGCACATTCATTTCGTTCCCTCTTTGCGCCACCCTTTGCTCTCATTTCAACTTCCACTCATTTTTATTTATTTATTTTTAATTTTTATTTTTCCTGCTGCGCTTAGTTATAGTGTCGCTCATCTCCACCATCACCATCATCATTGCAATCATCATCATCATCTTCATCATCTTTCGTAAAGCAAACTAATTGAATTTGTTTCTGATTTAATTAATCAACAGTCACGAAAAGACGCAGCAGTCGTCAGCACAAGCGGTCGTAGAGGACCAGAAGCAGCTACAGCAGCAGCAACAGCAAAAGCAGCAGCAGCTAGAGCCAGTAGAGCAATCAACACCTGTTTCACCACCTTCTACTCAACAAACCCAACAACAAGCACAGGCACAAGTTGCGAATAGCAATTTTTCACCAGACGAAATACCCGAACCCATTAAGGTGCTAGATGATATAATCTCTGAATTCGAAGATACATCAAAGCCAGCGAACGCAGGTGGTAATGGAGAAAATCAATCTGAGGATGATGGCTACATGAGCCTTAGTCGAAAGAAGTGAGTAGTTAGTTGGGTGAGAATGAGTGTATGGTATGTGAAATAGTGATTAATTGAAGTGGAAGGATATGCACTTTTTTCAAAAAAAGAAAAGAAAAGAAATAGTTTACACTGGTAAGCGCCGGTTTATTTAAGCCGCTTGCTTCGTTTTGGCTAAGACTAAAAGTAGTTGAGAATATTGATTTCCGCTTCCCGATAACCGTATCGAAAAGAGTTGTCCTAAATCTTTTAGAATTGAATAGAAGTAAAGAAAATGTTCTATCGCAAAGCACTTTCCAATGGTGTTAGGAGATTAATAATAATTTCAAGCCCAGTTTTGTACACCCCATAAAGCAAGGAGCAGAGATCTCCTAAAGCCACTCTTATTACGGTCGCCCTTAAACGAGAAATGTCAGTCCTTCAGAGTATATTTTTAATAGCAGCTCTTAAAAACTCATCAGCCGCTCGGAGGTGGCGTAGAATCATCTGTAACTCCCTTTATTTGTGGAAAATCTTCAAGATAAATACCACAATTTAAACGAGTGGCTTTGCCGAAAATCGCTTCAGCGGTTTCAAAAGCTCTAATTATAAAAAGGGTTTCCATTTTAAAGTTTTATAAACATCATTTTTGCCTTCCGGTTAATAATGGAACACAACTTTGTTCATGTGAGTGCCGCGACTGGCTTTGCAGTAGCTCACTCTGTTCTATCTCTGAGCGCAAATTTTCAACGCATTTCCGATTGTGTGGTCCTCTATGGCTAACAGAGTCCAGCGGCCCTGAGACTTCCAATTGACATCCCCGTTTCGATGCACAAAAGAACGATTGTAACATTGGTAGTGTGGCACGTAGCGCCGTTCTGTTGAAATCACACATTACCCATGCAATTTTCTTCAACATTTAAAAACAAATAACCTCTGATCTTGGCAATCGACATTGACGGTATCACAGCACTCAAATCAAACAGTCACTCGTTGAGGATGCATTGGCACTGAACCAATTGATCATTTTCTTGCAGTGTCAGCTGAAGGCTCATCAATTTGGAAGTAAATTTTAAATATTTCCCGGTTTTCTTTAAAAGCCAAATACGCCGTAGTTCAAAAAGAAGGCGGTGGAGGGTATATTCTTTATTATATAGGGGAGTAGTGAGCGGTCAATCACTTCGGCTTGAAGGTGTTTCGGTATGGATTAAGTGAAAATAATAGAAAATTTCGCCAAGCGGTTTTCCGCTGAGATCCTTGCCTAATTGGTATATGCTCTAATATTTTTTTACCTCCGTACAGCCAAAGGATTTTTTTAGTAGTTTTTATTTCATGTGAGAAATACACTTGAATGGTTTGACATGCTCTGCCGAGGGGCGACCGCAATAGAAAATTTAATTTCCTATAATGGGGATATTGCTCGGATCAGGACTTGAGACCTCGTTGTTTGGAAACACCAAGCGAGTCCAGGTACTTCTAAGCCTGACATTCAAGGATTTGAGCAATCTATTTCCTCTTCCTCTATGGGTACTGTATTGAATACTTTCAAAGCTGGAGTGTTCTCATCCATGCGGAAGACATGGTCGCTGTTTCTTAATTCATATATAACCGTATAGACATTTACGTACATTATTGTATAGTTCATTGCTCTAACGGCTACGGTTTTCGTCATCGCTAAAAAGGAAAGGATGAATAAAATTTGATTGTAGACTTGGGTCCTTAAGTGGTGAGAGAGGAATTTACCTTTAAATTACCTATTCATTCCTAAGTAGCTGCTTTTGATAAGCGTTATTCTGCATTGTATTTCGTTACGGAATGTTGTTAGTGCTGATCCTTACGTAGATAAATTTTCAAGAATCTCGATGTTTTAATTGTCAACAAAGACGTGGGAAAGCTTGCTAATTATTTGTATACGGACAGGAGATATTTCGTCTGATCTTCTTTCACCACTAGGCTAATGAGCTTTGCCCCTTTTCCAGCTTGAAGATGATGAAATTGAAAAATAGAATAATGTATAGACCTAAGCTTAATATTACTACCTGAACTATTATTCAAGCTACATATCTATTTCGTGACCTTTTAGCATGCACAAGCAAGATTTTGAAAATGTCTCACAGAGCAGTATTGGCAGCAATGCGGCACCCGTTGTCACACCTACGAAAGAGTTTCACGAATTTAACAATAAAACAGATGTTACCTGCCAAAATTTGGAAACACCTGCCGATCAGAATATCATACAATCAACTTTGGTAAGAGGCAACTGCGAATGTGTTCTTAAGAAACTAAAGAAATAACATTAATAATACGATTTCATTACAGCCAAAAGCGCGTCCAGCTTCCGCATTGACGAGCAACAACTATTCCAGTCTTCCATGTTGCGGTGCGCGCTCCACATCGTTAGATGGGAAGACAACGCGCGGTGTCAGCTGTAATGGTGAACGCAATAAATTGGGTATCGATATTAGTGCGGTACATAATGCGGTACTGCGTGGAGGTTTGGCAAAATTACCAGGTAAATAATTGCAAATTAAAGGGTTTTTGGAATGAGAGGTGTTACTTTGAATACCCTGCTATACCGGTAGATGTCACCATCGAAGCTATAATTTTTTTGACCTTTGACAAGTAAAAAACTACGCCAGTAATGAGAATGGTACGATGCACGATTCAACAGCTCATTGAAATTATTTAAATTCGCTATGAAAATTTCAACGAAAAATCTTCTTGACAGATGAGGTCCATTTCCACCTCGTTGACTGCCGCATCTGGGGCTCGGAAAACCCAAAATTCATTGTTAGAAAAGCCTCTCCATCCTCATTAATGATTTTTTATGACCGGAACAAGACGGCGCTACATGCCACATAAGCACCGAAACCATCGATCTTTTAATAGAAAAGCTTCTTTCAATGTCAAAATAACACCTCTTATTGAAAAAACCCCGTTATTATAGTTTATTTACTTACTTTCTGACTGCTTTGATTATACAGAGCCAATTTTGAATGAACATCCCGTTACTATATACCCCGGCCGTTATTCACCACCAACCGAAAACAAACGAAGCTCCAATCGGCCACAACGTATTTTATCCTCTGTTGAGAAACACAAAGGAGTATGTCATATGCTAAATCCCTTGTCTTCGATCTCCTCTTCATCATCCTCGTCCAGTTCGAATTGCACCGGTTTGATGGATAGCAAAGTGATAGATATCTCTAATAATATTATGAAGAAAACATATATACGTAAGGATAATATTGCCAATGAATTTAGACTAGTCAGTGAAGATGATTTCTCAGACGATTCCATTGAAGAGCAATCATTATCCCCAATCACTTCACACTCCTCGCCACACAAACAAAGTGGCATTGCGTGGGAGATACACTTTAAGAGTAGCAAGAAGAAATCGAAAAGTTCAGCGAAGAAAAAACCACAAAGGAAACATGTATGTAAATATATGCAGCAGCACACCTACATATACATATATGTATGCATACATACATATATCATTTAAAAACGTTTCTCACTCTTTTCAGACTACCGAATGTATTACTAAGACGGAAAATGGCAACTATCAATTACCTATTATGGCTAGTGATGTTTTTTATTCCAAAGATGCTGAGCGTGCTTTTCGCCGTGAGCCGATCATCATAGATACCGTCGATGGTCCAGATAAGTGTGCAGCGCCTCCAGCGGATATTTTGAATCATTGCATGTATCGTCATGCAAACACTAGTATGTTGGGCAAGGGTACATTTATAATACGACGTGCCACAAATAAACCACCAACAGCAATGGATATATTCCGCAATGATGCCGAAGAGCTAGATGGACTAGATACACAAGATCCGAGCGATTATGAAGAATTCTCATCAATCGAGGGACACGAAAATTGTAAGCCGAACGACGCGTTAAGTTCGAGCTCTAGACACCACAGTGGTGATTTAGTAGCACCATTAGGACCAACTTTACCATCGCCGAGGTATGTTGGTTTCTTAAGCCAAGCTAAAAATAATAATACATTGCAATGTATTTATACAATATATATCAATACTCTCTTCTAGGGATCGTCTGTCGTTAAATCTCGAACCACAATTACCAAATATTTTTACCAAAGAATTACTGGCTGTGCATAAGGGAGATCGTTCCTCGTCCGAAGGTTAGCGTAATTAAAATAAAATATTCAAAAAAGTATTTCAATTAAATTTGTTTTCTCTTTATCTTCATGCAGAGCTTTTAGCACCCGTTAAGAAGACATCGCTTAGTAGAGAGCCAAAGAGACGAAGCACTGATTCTATCAATACCAATAAGTCTTCCAGCTACGAAGAAGCTGAACAACTAGAACCGCACGAAAGCATTAACTTATTTTCAAATAAAAATAGTTTTGACGCTTGCAATGTGTATGGCTATAAGAACGATACTGCTGCGTGTTTAAAAGGACAAGAATTTGCTGGTAAGAAAAATTAAATTACAAAGCTGTTGTGCGCCCTTCAAAACAAGTTCGGCTGGCAGGCTCTGCGTTATCTCCATATGATTCTTCTTATACCTCTGCTTCCACCAGCGGGTACTGCATTAAAGGCTTTCAAAGTTAAACTGCTTTGGCAAAGTTGTCTTACATTTTTCACAACCCATCGTATTCGGCAAAACTTTTTCTCGATCATCCTCCGGGGTAAAGGCCATGATTCGGGGATGAAATCGCTGTCCCACTACAAATTCAAAATTCAAATTTTGCGCTTTTTATATGACCGTTCAAGTAGATTTCAACATGACCCATCGTCTAGTACACCTGTTGTTGTTGCCGCAAAACTATTCCACAAAGTAGTTCTTGGGGAATGTTGCGGAAGTGACAGTCTTTGGCCGGATAAAAAACCGGGTCATTTCAATATAAAGACTCGATTGACGGGCGAGGGAGTTTAGTCGCCTTTTATGACAGACATTCCATAACGCGTGAAAATTCTTGAACACGTACCTCGCATCACGACGGTGATGTCAACAAGCTGAACAGTAGCACTTTCACAATTAAGTGACCAGACATTCCAGATGTTTACCCTAAAATCGTGATCCTTAAAACGTTTATAGGGGTTGCAATTATTTGAAGTCAATTGTGACACATTTTTTTGATAAAGCCTAAGCCTCATGAGGCTCTATTTCTCTTTGACTCGTTTTCAAAAAGGGGTTTGTTGGTTTCCCAAAGTTTACTTAGTCTAAGACCGATAGTCGTGAGCTGTTTCAACCATATATTTTTTTTTTATAAATGTACTTATACGCATATATTATTTAACGGGTTTTCAAATAAATGGTATTATTTTGATATTTGAAGAAACTCTTCTTATGTTGCACAGTGCGCCGTCTTACCAGAAGTAAATGTTGTCCAGATCAATACCATTCAATTTCGGCCATAAACAAATCATTAATCATATCTCAATAGCACAATCCATTCATTTTCAAAAAGGAAAGGTCCAATGACTCTGCCGGATCATAAACCACACCAAACAGTAACACGTTGAGGTCCTTTCAAGAATAAATCTTGGGTTTTTCGAGCCCCAGATGGGAAGGAAATAAAGGTGGAAATGGGCATTATCAGTCAAGATGATTTTTCGATGAAACTTTTAATATTTATAGTAATTTTAATGATTTCAATGCGTTTTTGAAGCGCCTATCGTTCCATTTTTATTGGTGGCGTAGCTTTAACTTGTCAAATTTCAAAATAATTACAGCTTCAAAAGTTATATCTTCTAAGCAGGCTAAAATAACACCTATTATTGGGAAACCCCCTATATTTATATATATGGCTCGTTGTAGCCGCAAAAGCAAATATTCAGCCAAGCTCTTTCCCCCATTTGCGGTGTGTGTCTAGAAGTTTTTCTACTGCCGGCTCTGAACGACGGATGGATTTTAGTAAGAATACACTCGGATGGCTTGAAATTCCCTGCGGAAGGGCGATCACAATTAGAAAAATTTGTTATCTACATTTTCGGATTCTAACCTTAAGAATATTGGGCTTCATTTAAAAACTATTAATGCATGGGCGGTAACTTATATACTTTGATATAACCTTTTCCAGTCAAGTTGATTTTAATAGAATTATTACAGTTATATTTCCCATGGGATTTCGTATAAGAAAGTATTTCATTCCAATGAGAATTGTCCTCCATGGTCCTCCTTACAAAGATCACTTTGTTCTTTTTTCTAATATATATTTACACGAGCGATTGTGGTTCATTTTCAGATTTACGCTCTTCGACAACAACGACTCCACACACCGATCTCGCACCGACACTTGAGGAGGAAGAGGAACAGTATAGTGACTTTAGTTATAGTGGTGTGCCTATTAAGGAAATTGAAAAAATCGATAGCAACAGAAACGCGTTGATGCGTGGAGATGTACGCATCGTTGAAGGTGGTGCGCATCCCAAACGTCCACTCGAATTTCGTCCCGGTGTTCATAAGTCGGAGAGTGCCAAGGAGATGTTATTGTCTCAAAGTACGTTCGGTCCGTTGCCACCATCGCCACCGTCATCTAATCCCGACCTATTTGTGAGTATTTGATTTTTATAAGCTTCTTACCAAAAAAAAAAAAAATAAACATTGTTATTGATGACTTGTAGGATTACGATGCTCTGCCACTGCCACCGTCTCCGAAGGATGCCATACTAGTCAACGAGAGTCATCGTCAAAGCCTTGCCAAAGGTTATAAGAAGACGACAACTGCCGAAATTCATACGCCCTCCTCACTGGGCAGCAATGAACGTCGAAATCGTGACAATATGAGCGCATTGCGTTATTTAAGCAACGATTTACCACCTTTACCACCGCCAGCTTTTGAGAATATGGCACCGGTTGTGCCGCCACATCGGGGACATTCGGCGAATACGATGAAATCGTGGTCCATTGATTCGCATTATAAGAAAAAATCACCGAAAATGTTAGGCTATGGTAGTGGCATTACCACGCCAACGGGTTCACAATACGAGGGCTCCTATTCAACGAAGCGATATGTCTCCTATGGCACGAAGCGTAGCCTAAAACAGTCGCCACGTGAAGAGTTGCGTTTGCAAACTTCATGCAGTCTGCCGGAAACACCTATTTTCGCACGAGGGTGAGCATATTAGAGAACAACTTAAGAAAAAAATTCTGTGAATAATTAATCCTCTTTATTATCTCTACAGAAGCTGTGACATACCGCGTACACCATTCCGACGACAACCTGAAAGTACAATCAGTGGTTCACGTACAGCGCCTCGCTCCAGCACCTCACACAGTATTAATATGGGCAACACCATGGGCGGTATGCCAGGTACTATTAATATGCGTTTGCAAGTTTACAAAAAACATAAACTTATACTCCAAACTTGTTTTTAGGTGGCAACACTTTCGGGGCTGGCATGTGCCGTCAACGTTCTATGAATCACGCGCTTGCCTCGAATGAGATGTTACGTTTAGCTGGCGCACCAGCTCGCGGCTGGTATCCAAAGCAGCGTTCAATGCGTCCAGCGTCGACAGAAAATATCGATCGTTTGAGTTCGTCACGAGTTTGGGATAGTGCTGCTGGCATGTCTGGGACTGGTCAGTCAAGGAAACCTTTAACGTTGCCTCCAAATTTAACGCCATCGTTTTTGAATAAATCACCAAGAGAAGCTCTACGTCGTGTAACAAGCCTTCTGATAGCCAAAAAGAGTAAGTTTACTTCTGTTGATGTTAATTAAGACTATATGATATGAAACCGGCATAGCCGAGGAAAAAATATAACAGTGGAAAGTTTTCAAAGAAAAATGAGCCTTCCAATTTAGCTTTTACTTGTCATTAAACACCCAAAGAGCCACACATATTTAGTGTTGAACCTTTCGCTTTAAAATTCCTGACACCATAATATGAGAAAAAAAGAGTTTCCTATTTCTTCGTCGAGACCGAGAAAACAAATACCTACGTATAAAAGCACCTCTAGTATCAATCATCAGAATTTTCCATAGGATCAAAGAGGGTTGATATTCTATGCCACAGGTCGCCCTTATTATACTGCTATGTCCCGGTCTTCTTTTTTTTTGATTGACATAAGCCTAGTAAACAACACTTTCTCTATGAGTCATTCGACGCGAATTGAAGACCGTAAGCGAGTCTTTCCTGATATTTCCACTGAAGTGGAGGTCTTACTCTTCCTCTGCAACCACCGACTATAGTGCTTTCGTGCTTTGTAGTTATGAATGTCAACAGCGACGTGGAACCGGGTCGCGAATACGCTTACTGCATCTTAAATGGCAAGACATATTTTGTCTTGTTTTCATTCACTACCAAACCCTTTAAAAAAAACGAAACTTAAAGGGCGGTTGGTTGAAGGAATTACACGAATGAAAGTAACTTGTCTTATATCTCGTTGGCTACTAACCGGCTCGGTGCCAATTCTCACCGAGCTTAGCGTCAGTTTGCATAGGAGACACAAAATTCAGACACAGCGGTCTAGAAGTACGCCCTTTACTTGCTGTCGAAGAAGAAGCGCTGTCTAAGTGGATAGGGAAGAATACGCGATAACCGGAAAGCATGTGTGGCTGAGCAGCTATGAAGAGAACACGAACGGGAAGACGAAAGAAGATCAGATTCTTGATCTGGATCTGAAAGTAGACGGTAAATACCTTTGGAAGCAATAAACACTTGAGCCGTATCTCTTCACCGAATACTAGAGGATTTCTTTCTGGCATATATGTTTTGCATTGGAAGTAAGCAATAGATCAGAGCCGAAAGTGATACAAGAAATTACACTCCTCGCGTAAACAATGTATGTGTGCATGTCGGTGCTTCCTTTTTACGATTATTTTTTAGAATTAGTCGCATTATGAGTATCTGTTCAATAGTAGAGCCAAAAGGTCTAAGCCCATACTGATAAGTTCCGATCAGTTCGTTGGCCAATGGACTTTAGTTTTTCCCGCAAAATGTCACTCGAAACCTAATATAAATATGATATTGAGATGGATATTCTCACCCGCAGTAGCTGTCTCCGTGTTTATTACTGACATGTAATGAAAGCTGCTCATAGAAATTCATCGGCCAATCCTAGGTAATGAAATATCAAGACGCATACTAAAAATTGGAAGGGAAGCTCGCCTGAAAATCGCTTTAACGGCTACAAAGCGCCAAATATATGTGACAATTAAGTAATGAAGCTCATTATATTGTCGCGATTGTGGTAACCCTTCCCCTTTTTCCGGCATCCTTCTCCTCTCCATTGATGTATTTGTAATCGCTCTAGTTTGTTTAGTTTGCCAGCTGTGTCGTGTTGAGTAAACGTGTGTCAGTGGTGCTGGTCACAAAAATGGAAAAACGTGGAAAAGCGGAATCATCCACAAAGAATTTCTTCCCCCGGGGTAAACCGAAAATCAAGTGTACCATCACCTTCTACTATCGCCAAGTATTCGAAAGATTGCGAAAACGAGTCAACAGGGTGCGCCCAGACATCGTTTGTAACTGGATTCATCACGATGATGCGCCGTACACATCGCCCTCAGCATGTCCCAGTATTTGGCCTCTAAAAGGATCGCCATGTTGCAACAAGTGTGAGTTGTTTTTGTTCCCTAGAACAAGAACATCCAGGCGGCCGTGACGAGGTCCCAGTCGAAGCGTTCCAGAAATGTTACGAAGCATGGAAAACGCGCTGGTATCGTTGTATAGCTGCCCAAGGGCACTACTTTGAAGGGGATGGCAGAAATAATTTTTAAATATAGGGTTTTTATGGAATCAGTCTCATTACTTAACTGTCGCACGTCGTATTTTTATTTCATGCCAGAAAAACACATCCTCAGTTTTGAAGAAAAAATAGTTTTGAAACTACTTTTCTGTAATTTTTGGTTTGATCATGACTCGAACCCCCGAAACCACCATTCCATTTTGATTTCCCGTGGTGGTTTCAGTATTAAAAAAAAGTCAATGGTCTTTTTGTTCTATGGAGTAGGTACAGAATTGTCCAAAATTTTCCATAACGAGAGTTTTGTTGCTCTTTTCATTCTTTACGTGCTCATTCCACAACTTAAAATGGCATTTCTTAGTTTTTTGTTTCGAATATTTATTACATAATAATGATGACAATACCATGGTATTATGCATTGCAGAAAACACGAAGGAGCGTAAGGGCAAGCCATATTCAGATACCACACTCGATGGAAACTTGACTTTTGAACAAGAAACTGGTGAGTTAACTTATGAAATTAAATCATGCCGAAATCATATTTTTTCTATATATTATATTTTATTTATGTATATAGTTACATGTATATAAAAGGTGTCTCAAATTAACGCATATTGGATTTAAATAGAAAGCCAGTTTTTAGTCTAGTAGATTATAATTTTATGATTGATTCATCAGGTATATAGGATAGGGTTATTTATGGCATAAAACATCGGGCAAATGGCACACGATCTAAGGGACTAATTCTGATCACCAAAACGAGAGAGTACGCAACCTAGAAAAGTCTCACCCAGTAATTAAAGTGTTTAACTGGCGGTGTGACAAGTGACACCACATATTGGCCACATCAATATCATCCAATTAGACAAAAAGAAGTTTGTTATCATGCCACGATAACGAGCCCCATTAACAGCCAATGCTTGACCAGTCTCATACTCGAAAAAGTTGCACGTTGTGGATGTATTTGCTTATCGACAATCACATATGGGTTCTCAGAGCCCTAAAAGCGACCATTTTGGTGGGTAACAAGCCCACCAAGGTGAAAATGTGCTTTATCGCTTAGGATGATTTTGTTCAAAATTCTATTCAACAAACTCTCTTCTTTTCTCATGATGGCTTCAGTTGTTGGCTTCAGTTGTTGGGTTAGCTGAATTTTATAAGCTTGGAGACACAGATCTTTAGTGATCATGCACTGTAGAGAGCTTTTGAGCTTACAGATGTGATTATCTTAGCGATTCATTATTTCATTCCATTTTTCATTCGTGGCTATATTTGACTTTTAAGCGTACAGTAGAGTAGAGCATTATAAAAATGGAGTTTTAACGGGTGATCCATTTCGAGATTCGCTACTTTTTTAAGGAAAAAACGCAGAAAATTCCATTCTTCGGCATTTATTTTTTGAAGAGTATCTCTTTCTAATGCTGGCCGCAGCTATGTCTCAGAGGGTCCATCTGTTGAGTCCAATTTTCGATGACTCGTTCAAGTATTTCGACTGGTATCTGGCGAATGACACGAGTGATGTTTTACTCCAAGATGTGAATCGAAATAGGATTGTCCGCAAACACTTTAGACTTTAAATATCCCTAAAGAAAGTAGTGTAACTTGGTGGCCAAAAGACCTGGTGGCCCAAAACGTTAAATTATCTGCGCAGCGAAGTGCTCTATCAATAAATCCATTATGCCAAGTGTGGACCGGTACCGTCTTGTAAAAACCAAATGTCACCGAGATCACGAGCTTCAATTTCAGGTCAGGCATCAAATAGTCGGTTATTATGACGTTATACTGATCGTCATTGGCGGTTACGTTCTCACTAGCATTATTTTTGAAGAAATATAAACCGATGATTTCACCGAACCACAAACCACATCAAACCATTGTTTTTTCTCTTTGACATGGCAGCTCTTGCATCTCTTCAGGTTGCTCTTCGACCGTAATTCGACGATTTTGCTTGTTTTCATGGCCATCGAGCTGGAAATAAGGCTCATCGCTGAATGAAATTTGGCTCGAAAACGTCGGAACATGAGCGAAGCGATATCCCTTGGGTAGGTCGAGAGTCTTTAGTTCTTTCACAAGCTGTATTTTGTATGCTTTCAATTTAAGAGCTCGACGTAAAATGCGCCTAGTCGTTCCATACGTCAGTTCGCGTTGCTGTAAACGGCGGCGAATCGGCTCTTCACGGTTTTCGTGTACACTCTCAGCTACGGTCGATATATTTTCTTCACTGCGTGCTGGACGTGGTCTATTCGGTCGAATACTATCCAGTAATGAATGATGGTAGTACACTTTGTAGGCCGCTTACGTTTAGCATAAGTAGAGCGAAGTGCGCGAAACACATTTTTTTTTACAGAACGTGAATATTCGGAATAAAGTTGAACGATTTGTAAGCGTTGCCAAACAATGCTGAACAATACTTACGCGTGATCTGTCAAAAAAAAGGCTATTGAAAAAATTACCTCTGATTGGATCACCCGTTACTTAGTTTAAACTGTCAGCTGTCAACACTTTACTTTTAATTGGCGGTAAAATTTAAATCTTGCGTTAACTTTAGGATGCTATATATAATGTATTTAATATAAATATTGACATACATATATATAATATTTTCTTTTTTTTTTCCTTCCATTTTAGCACTCCCACCCACGCCAAAGGATAATGCGCGCAATTTTAATAATACGTCACAGAAGCCTCAAAAGAAAAAAGGCCTTTTCAAAAGCTTATGGAAGAAAACAAAACACTTTTCATTAGATCAATAAGTAACAACAATAAAAAAAACAAACCAAAATATGCAATTCATTAAAAAAATATACATATACATACATATTATATACATATAATATATAAAATATTTATACACAATTAGCACACAAATTCTACCCATCCATCCAATGAACTGCATACAAACATTTATACACACACACACACACACACACACGCACCCACTTTACACTTAACACGTAATCACAGGTAATATAACAGTGTTGCACAACCGATCAACCATTAAATATTTACATACATACATACATATATTATTATCGTTATATACTCACAGTAAGCATAAGTTATAGGCCGTTAAAAATGATGCTCAACATCGACTTACACACAACACACATACACACATGCAGATTAAAAATAATAACATAAATTAAAGCATACACGTATGCTATATGTTATGCCAGACAAAATTTTTACATAAAATATATACAAACACACATAAATATTATTACAAAATTACACAAAATTACGAATGCATTAAAGTATAATGAAAAAAGAAAAAAAAAATTAATAATATTAAAAATGATTAAAACTGATAAATAAATTACGAATAACACAGAGTATAGAAATGCACAAAGCCGCAAAACTAAAGACTGAATTTAAAGAAAAAAAAGGAACAAAAAATTAAATACATATTGATAATGCAAATATAAGACACAACTCAGTTCAGCTTCACATACCTAAGAGAAAAATAAAACAAAAAATAAAAATTTAAAAATAGCAAAAACAAAAAACAATATCTTCGCATTTTTTAGAGTTAACAAAGCAAAATAAATAAATTAAATTAAATGAAAATATTAAAAATTAAAATAAAAAAAAATAAAAAAAAACTACAATAAAAATGTTCAAACTTGCACGAATCGAAAACAAAAACTATTTCAAATTTAAAACTAAAAACTTTCGTCTAACAACTTTGGTACCAACAACTACATACATTCATACATACATACATACATATGTACATGCATATGTTATGCACTAGAACTTATTACAGCCAAACGAAATTTCGAGACTTACCTACTCAATGTGTATCCGTATTGACTGTAACTGTAATTAGCATTTAGTAAAAGAAATTAAAATTGAAATGGAAATGGAAATGGAAATTGAAAATGCCATAAAATATGTAAAAGAGGCAATTACGCCTAGTCAACAAATTAATTAATGAATTTCTTATTAGTTTAATGTACTTATTTGCACATACCCAAACATCAACACTTACACACACACACACACACAGACACACAGATATACTTATAAATATTAGAATTACACGTTTGAGTTATAAATACTATTACGGTAATTAGAATATGATTACTTTCAGCATTTAAACGCATGTTTTCGTATTTAATGCGTATGTTTTCTGTACACCGTTAAGTATACTAACATATTGTATTTATTAAAAAATAATAATAATAATAATAATATTAATTAAATATAATACACTCTTTTTAAGCAATATTTGGCTCGGACACAATGTACATGTGTGTGTATTTAGCCATTAAAAAAGTATTATTACTCATTTATTTTAACGTTTACATATTTATGTATGTACTGATAGTCATTTTTTATGAAGCAAATAAAGTTAATATGAAAACAAAACAACAAACAAACAAACAAACAAAAAAAAAAAAACAAATAGCAACAACAAAAACATGAGTTATCTAGTAGGCAAGCACCAAATAGTAATATCACTCAAAATTACATAACCTATTTTTATGAACGTTAGATTTTCTTCAGCAATTAATTATAAAATACAGTACAGTTAAGCACACACATAGACACACATACACACATACTTATGTATGCCAATAAGCGTAGGTGAGTCTTGTTTGCGGACCAAAAAACAAAAAAAAGATCAACGAAGAATTGTAGAGCGAATATTTTGAGTTTAATTTAAAAAAATAATTAAAAAATTTTGTAGGTATGAAGTCTGCTCAGTGTTGTTATACTTAATATGTTACAACAATGCGCTCAAACTCAATTGGAAAATGATAAAATACCTGGAAATGTTGCTTAAAGCAAATATTCGTAAATGAAAAATTTTTAGAAAATATGTATGTAAGATAAAAGGGGATTAACGCAACGCAGCGAATGTATGAAACTTTTAGTGAATTGTTTTTTTTTTTAAATGAAAATTCATTTGTTTTGTTTATTGAACCTTAGTCCTGTTCGGTGAGCTAATGTGCAGTAACAATTGTTATTAAATTTTTTTGTACCGCTTCTAGTGAGCCAAAAAAGTAAAAAGTAAAATTTCCAACCGTTCCGTTTAAGGCAGTTTCTCCTTTNGCTTTATATATATATATAATTGGCGCTTTGTAACCGCTGAAGAGTTTTTCGGCCGAGCTACTCCTCCTATTTGTCCTATATTTCCAACAAATGAGGGATCTACTGTTCATACTTCGAACGGCTGTTGGTTTTTTATGAGGAGCTTTTTTTTTGTTTTCGTTTCAGAAATACACTCGGAGAGGCTGACATTCCCTGCCGATGGGCGTTCGCAATTAGAAAATGTTTCTTAGTTTTTTATTTATAGTCCTATTCTCGCTATTACCAGTAAAGTAAGTTTTGTTACTTTTCTTTTAGCCTATTTCCACCAAGCACTTAAATGCATTTAAGGCCTCTGTTAAGTAAATGAAATGTCAAACGTTTCCACCGAAAGTGAGTTAACTCAAACAGCTGATTTTTGTTTACATTTGCAGTTTACAAAATTTGCCACAACTATAGAAATCATGAATTCAAGAGACCGCATTTATTTTATTTGGCTATTTCTGCAATCTTAAGACTTGCAAGTGCAGATTATTTCTGCACGGGCAAACGTTGCTGAAACGAATATGCTTTTATACATGTTTCCATTTTCATATTTGTTTGTTTGTTCCCTCAAAATATTTATTTTGCGCAATCAGCTGATAGTTACCAGAGCCACGTATATTTTTATGTTGAGGGGATCGTTTGATATTTCACAATTGCTTTTTGTTGGTTTCTTATAGTTTTTTTTGAAGGCGGAGAAGCATTATCTTCGCCAATTACTTAATATAGGCATTTATGTTAAAACTAATGCAAAAAAGGAATTTTTATACAAAAAATTTCACCATGCAAAATAAAAATCTCGCCCCTCATTAAATCCGAAAATACACGACTCTAGCATGAAGTACACCGAAACTTCCGAAATGATTACATTATTAGTGACAGCATCGAATGTTAACATAACATTTTCTGTTAAATTGCCGAAAATGAGTTAACTCACTTTGAAAAGTGAGTTAACACACTTTTATACAACAACGAACACATGGGAATTACCGCATTTAAATGCGATGTTTAAATACATTTAAGCTAAAATGCATTTAAGGTCCGGTGGAAATAGGCTATTTAACACCCGAAATTGAATTTGGTATTCTGGCAAACTGGTTACAATGTTTGAAAAAAATTTGGCAGCACTGCTTTTTTCGAAAGCATGGAAATGGAAGACTGTGCACCTCAAAATAAATAAGTTTTATTTATGTGTTTATTAAATCATAAATATTTGAGCCTAATTATGGAAAATATGCCTGGACAACAAAAAAAAGCTGTCACGGAAACTTCTTAAAATACGGCTTTTTGCACTTTTTTCTTCATCTTCAATGAATTCCAGGCCTAAAATATGCCTAAACATTTTGGTTTTTTATTTTTTCTCAGACTTACAACACAAAATCAAACAGCAGATATTTTTGTTACCTCCTATTTCGCTGGTAACAAAATTTACAGGGTAACAGTGAGCTCAGAATACGAAATGGTAACAAAATTTACTGAATGGTAAATTTTAATACCTGTTAAATTAATTTTCTATAACTTTTTGGATGTTAGTACGAAACCAGGGTTTAAACCCGAACCTTGCGCATGGCAGTTCGCAATGCTAACCACTCGGATACCACGGCCGCCGGTAGAACCCGAAAAAAAGCGTTTTCAGCAATTTTTTTTTTTTTTTTTTTTGAAAAGGGAAAGAAATTATTGCGGTAAAAAAAAAACAATTTTTAACATAAAAAAATATTGGAATTTTCCAATATATTATATTGTGATAACTTTTCTGTAGCGGCTGCAGTGTGAACTCTTGAAACGGTGCCGGTGATGGAGGTCGTGCAATGCATCTGAAACAGACGAACCAATTTTTTTTTTTAATTTTTTTGAGTATATGAACTAAGAAAAAAGACGGTGGAAAATTTCATAAATTTTCGAGGTTTGAAAAAAAATAAAATCACTTTAAGTTGCAAAAATTAATTTAAAATATAATTTTGTCTTATTTTTTTTTATTTGGTTTAGAAGATAATTTAATGCTGGAGCTAGATCAATTAGTTTTTTTGATTATTCTTTTTGCTATCACCGGCATCGCTTTCTAAGGCTTGTAAATATGAAAACCGGAGAAAAAGCGCTTTAAATTCAGCCTGAATATTCGAACCTGTTCGACGCTCAGCCATCAAAGCTTGGAGTTTTAGAAAAGATTTAAAAAAAAAAATAAGTTAAATTTTTGAATTGCGGTCGCCCGTGGGTATTTCCAAGTGTATTTCGGACATGAAAACCGAAAAAAAAATCTTCGAAAATCATCAGCCGTTTGGAGGCGGCTCCATCAAGATGCAAATCCACAAATTGGAGGAGGAGTTCGACCGTAAGCCGCTTCAGCGGTTACAAAGATCCAATTACATATATTTAATTATTGAAGCAGGTTCGACTTCGAAAGCCTAAACTAAAACAAAAAGGCCATTAGTAGGATGGACCGCTGGCTTGACGTTCCTCTTTAGAAGGCTGATTTGTCTCTGCTCCGCAGACGGGTTTGACTTGTTGCGTAGACCCAGGTGTTAGTCAAAGGGTTCGTATGACTATGCAGTTTTGTGACGTATTTTTGGGCTGCGATTTTAATCGCTTCTTTGATGGTGGGTATATCGTTACGCATTGAGTATCCTCTCAATTTTAAATCCTTCGCGCATTTTGCTGACAAAAAATTTCTGCAATTTAATTTTTAATAAACAAAATATTTTTTTCTTGTTCAAAATAAGCCTAATTCGTCAACGCAATCTCCATTAAGAACCACTGAAACATTCTTAAAGTGCTCTAACATGTCAATACCACTTTAGTAGAACGATTTATATTCATTCGAGCTAAATTACTTTCGAACAGATAGTCCCTTGGAGCCAAATTAGGCGATGGTTAGAACATTTCCTAAAACATAGAAATGATAAACTTTCCTACCGATTGTTATGATTTTGGTCTCTTAGTATGAGTTTATCAGTTCCTATCCACTTAGACAACGATCGTCTTGATTCCGGATTCAAGTGATGGATTCGTCCATTATTAATTGTAGAATATTAGTGCAAAAGTTCTGATTTTTTTTTTAATTTTAACATGACAAAACCTTGCTTAGAACCAACAATACGTTTTTGTTTTTGATCCAAAGGGATCAAACGAGGCTTCCTCATAGTCAATTGCTCTTGCAATACATAGCCAACACTTCCCTTTGAAGTCCACGGCGTTCCAATTGTTGTTTCTGATGAAGCGAGGTCCGTATAAGCCATTGCTTAGCTTCAACGGTATTGTACCCATAAAAACGCAATTTAAAATTAAAGCACGACAAATATCATCTGAATATTGCATTGACGATCGCAATAGCCGAGTGATTAACAGTATTGTGAAGGATATGAATGAAAGTTATGAGCTAAATTCTGTACCCAACATATGTATACATGATTTAATGATAATGAGATGGCGTGACTGGAAAAGTGATTATACTCCTCTTCACATTGTTTTAATTTTTAGTCGGGCTTCATACTAATATTAGATAACAAATTTTTATAATTAATTTGTAAGAGGAAACCCTTGTCTTCTATTTCTTTTATCTGGCAATGAATACACCTTGCCGCAACAAAAAAATACTAATCTTAGGAGACGTTTTTTTTTTTTCTAAAAACCGTTCAAACTGAACATGGAACTTCATTACCGCCGAGTGCCGATTAAAGAACAAATTAGTAATAATTTGATTCCTTACATATATAATATATAGCGTAATAAAACTAATGCTTTACAACCGCTGGAACCGCTTTCAATTTCTGATGTGAGTCATGTGAATCCTTCGGCTACTGTGACGACAAATCAATTCCCTATTTTTAATTGACATATTTCATATAGAAAGTTTGTTTAAACATAAATTATGACAGCATTAGTGATTATTTCTAAATAACTTGTTCATTTTGATACCCAGTAAATTTAGCTTCTCATGTTAATAATGATGAAACATGTGGCAAACTTCGTTCAAATATTCCACTTCAGAATTCTGCGAACCGCATTGTTTTCTAACGAAAAACTCAAGACAATACTTTTATGCATTTAATATGTAACATTTTAAGAAAAATACTTTAATTAATTGAAGAAAATAAAAAATTTAAATATAAATTCAAATTATCATTTTCCAAATGAGTCATGATCCTTACTTCTGTTTATAGAACAACTACTAGAATGTGCCACAAAGTTATACGATAGCACCTGCATTTCTTAGACAACTATAAGTGAATAAATAAAATAAGCTTCAAGGATTTCAATACACATTCCTGAGTGTACACAACATTAAATTCACTGACATGTACGGCTACTACAAACGCCATAAAAACCCAAGAGAAAAATTAAATATTACAATGTCATATATGTACATACATACATACACTTGCTTATATACTGTATGCACGTTAAAATTGTGCACATTTTTGAAATGAGAAATCGATGGTCCTATCCCCCTTCACTTTTTCGTGGGGGGATAACTGCTACGTATGAATATAATAATTGAATATTTAATAAGAAATAAAGTTTTAATTACTTATACATATTGATTCTTCTCAACTGCATTTTTATTAGATTTTCCTCGTTATTATGTTGGTTTTTTTGTAACTAATATCCTAGTTTTATATTATGTTATGTATGTTTTTTTTATTATTTAACTTGTGCCACGTTTGTATACAAAATATGGCTCGGGCAGAGGAGTAAAAAAGGGGGTAGGTAAACGATTAAGTGCACATTTACGATTACGACCGATACATTACTACATAGAACGAAAAAAACATCTTCAACACATATCCATATCAAAAAAAAAAAAAAAAAACTATAAAAAATTGCATTTAAAAATTTTGTATATAAACAATAATTTAATATTCGGCATATAAACAACTTTGAAGCAGCTTATTCAAATGTGTATGACGATTTTCTTTTCCTGGTTGGCTAACAGTGCATTTAATTGCACACTATGCATGACGACTGCTGCAAAAACATTATATAAACAACGCCAAAAATATATCCAAGTTATGCTACATAACTATATTCATCACCCGAATTGGGAGTACGCTCAATGTACTGTTTGTCAATTAGCGATTCGATGCACTTTTTTATCATTGAAATACTCGGTGTAAAACTCACGCGCGATTGTGATAAAATCTACAAGAGAAACAAACATATGTGGTTAGTTTTGTAATTAGAGCAAAAAAAAAATATATATATATATATATAAATACAAAAATGAAAGCCTACACCTACCTCTTGAATGAGTGCATTGTGCTTTAGAACTTTGCGAGATTTCATTATGCGTACAATCGCTGCTTGCAGATAAAGTTTCCTATCCTCGTCCACTGCACTGATAGTGTGTTCGATTTGCTGAAAATTTACATATACATAATTAAGTATGTACATACATATATGAGAATATTACTTTTTTGCTATTTGCTTATCATTTATTGATTGATATGCTTCACTTACCTCCTGCTGTGTTTCCTTTTGCATGGCGGATGTTATTTTAAACTTTGTTCGCTTGTTTGAATAATCAAAATTCAGTTCAACTTTAGTATTGCCTTCTAGACTTTCTGAATTGGCATTGAGCAGTTTCGACTCCAGCAGGGATTGTAAATGTTTCTGAAACGTCTCACTATTCAGTTGCAGCGTACTTTGTATATCTCTACACGTCATAGAATCACATGACTCGAATAACAAGAGCATTGCCATTTGATAAGTTTGCATAGTTACGATGTAGGTTTTCTTTAAATAGCCCAATTTCAATTCACCATGACACATATGATGCAGCCATGTCAGTTTACGACCGTTGAACGAATTATGATAGAATGCTTCGAACTGTGATATGATTTGCATGAATTTATTTTACTAAATATTTACTCCGCCTTTTTTTTTTCTTACCATTCTAATAGATTTTTCAAATTCCTGCGGGACTGCAAAAGGTATGACAACCTGTGTGGGACCTAATGGCCATGCGCCGGCTTGAAGCACTTTAATAGATAAATTTATGCCTGAAAATAAATAAGTGAAACACAATATATAAAATTTGAAAATAATAAAAAAGATATTAATTACCTAAGTCGATATTTTCATGTTTTAAATGATTATTAAATTTATTATTTAGGTCCACCGATAGCGAGATATCAGTAAACATACGATGCAGTTTATTCGTAAATTCATAACCACAAGCTTGCTGTAAAAAAAAATTAAAGAGAACTTGAAATAAAGCAACGATGTGTGGTGTTAAATCAAAGCATATTTTACCTTTAGTCTATTGATCATAGCTTCCTCCGCATCCATGCTTTGAGATTGCTCATGAATTAGTCTGAAATTACATTCCAATCATCATTTAATTTTGTTGTTTTTTTTTACATCCACCATTCAAAACAAACCTTTTTGCCAATAGTCTACTATAGAATTTCTGATAGACATCTTTATCTTCGATGTATTTAAAAATTGTTATATTATTGGTAAGTTTTTGGTCGATTTCGGCTTCCGTGGTCTTAGATTTTTTCAGCAACGTATCACAGTACTTCGCAACATATTCAGCACTTCTACAGGGTTGTCGATCACTCGGACGCCGATTTATGACGCTCGCACAGGCTTTGTCTAAAGCACTTAAAAACAGCGAATCATTTTCAAATACATCGGCAATCAGTTCTTGATACTTTTGATGGACCTTAAGCATATTCTCTACAAATTGTATATGTATATTTTCACCCGAAAGGGTAGATATTGTTTCCAATCCATCATTTTTAATGTGATCCAAAAATGTTTGTATTAGCTGCCCTTTTAAATTATCTGGTATAGGTTTCAATATTATATACATATTGCGCAAGTCTTTTCGCTTTTCTTGTGACACCATATCTTTGCATTCGGAGTAAATAAAATCGAGACGCTGATTTACAAACCGATCCTCACACTGTTTACGTAGTTTCCACAAGGAGCTACCAAAAAAAAAGAGGTAATTAATAAAGTTACTAAAATTTATCAGCTATGTTTTACCCACCTTGTGTGAAGAAATTTCTGTGCTCGTTTACTTTCATCATCTAAAATCTTGATAACCTCCTCCATGTATTTGCTTACGGTACACGTTTGTAATAACTTTGAAGCCTCATTATCATAAAATTCACCACTTGCAACAAGTAATGGACTTTCAAACAATTCTTGATACAACTTAAGAGAACCGTTCTTTTTGTAGTCTTGTACCTGCACGAAGCTGTGTATTACACCGTTAATTATCTTTACTCGATTCGCGTTGATTTCGGGATTACCACAACGATCTAACTTAATTCCTTCTAAGATATGTTGCACCAATTCACTGCTAAGCGATTTTATCATGTAGATGCGCCATATATCCAAGCCCAGTTCGCCTATTTCCATTTGTTCAAGCGTTTCGGTAGACACATTACCATAAACTATTTCAGCATCAGAAATTTTTTGCTTTTTAATATGTTGTTGATTCAGATATCTAAATATTGATTATACTATTATATAATTGTTAATATTTTCAAATAATATATTCTATTTACGAATACAAATTGTCCAAATATTTAACACCCTGACTATATTCTGACCAAGCGTCATAGTAACGTTGTAATAGATCAGGTCCAGTATCTTTAGAATTTGATGCGCCGCATTGGTGAGGTGACACTCTTGTTGCCAACATATTTTGAACGTGGTTCTCCAAAAATTGTTTCGTCTCATTATATAGTCTATCAGCAAAGGGCTCGGGATGTGCCACACACAAGGTATACACATCGCTTTAAATCAATTGCCAACATTTATATATTCGTATATCTTCAACACAAAATTAGTAATTCATGTAACACTCACCTAAATCGGGTACTCCAGTCTGTACGATTAACATTACCCAGGGTAATAACCGCTTCAGCAGTACTTCTAAGATTTGGCCAAATTTCATTGAAATCTACACTTTTCGGGGTCAAGGACATGCTGGCTGTTTTGCTATATAATGCAACTGCAACAAATAGTGGAAAGCAGACAGAATAAGCAATGAGTATGCCAAAATACGAATACGTTGGGGGCAGTGAGCGTGTTGGGTGGTGGCGAGCAGGCAGTGTTTGCGTTGCACTAGAAAAGCCAGAGAATCAGCTGCCTTGATGCAAACGTAGGGCGTTCGATAGTTTTTTCCACAATTTTTAACACATTTCACAAGCCAATTTAATTAATTTTATTAGCATTTAATCTGCGTTTTATATATTTCTAATCAGTCAAAAATTACCTGCACAACTTTGTTCAGTTTGCTCCGTAACGATAAACGTCCAATGCTTTTTCTTCCTCGAAGAGTGTACATCATTCACAATAGATTACGTTACTTAAAGATGCCAAAGAGCGTAAATAAGTACATAGGAAAAAATGCTCTTCTTATTAAATTATAGTTGAAAGAAGAAATTAAAACAATTTTCGTACTGTACTAAAACCTAAGCACGTTCCAAATAACATATATGAATTTCAATTTAATTTCAATTAATTCATTTCATTTAATTAATTTTATTATTTATTGTAATAAAAAAACAAATGGCGACGGAAAACGGAGGAAGTAAAAATTCGCACGAAAACCCATTTTTATCATCATGTAAATATTTAAAACTCACCATCACTTTTCTCTTTCCACATTAATATATATACTAGGTAATTTTTTAATAATTAACTGCACTATTTTTACTATATTATTATTTTTCTTCAAAATTCATTATTTGTTTGCCCGTTTTTCACATTTTTACCAATTCGATCGGCTCATTTATGTTTTGGTACAAAAACTCGTTTCGCCTTCATAATTTTCCCGCTGTGCTACGAAAATCGCGAAAAATTTCATAGTAGGTGAAAACTGTCTGTGGAACGCCACTATTCACCTCATAAATTTTTCAAATTGGTCACAGTTCTTTTCCTTTCTTATTAATGTATGTTGTTTGGTAAAATCGACATTTTTACGGTTGAGAATCGTAAATATGACAGTGAATTCCACCACAGTGAAGGTAGCTACAACAAAATTTCATTATTTCATGGAAATATTATCATCAGGCAACCCTAATCCATAAGGGACTTATATTCAATAAAAAGTTTGTTTTGGATTAACTTTGTATTTCAAATCTTCTTGTGTTCATATCGTATAGTAGAATTAAACCTGTTTTCTTGCCATTATTCCGTAATCACAATGAGTACATGCAGCTATCAGGGATGTTACAAACAGCGTTATCCTTGTGGCTCAATTACATTTTTTCAAATACCTATGGACGAGCCGAGACGCACACAGTGGATATTGAATAGTGGGAACAAGCGTTTGCGGAGTCTAACAAGTACACAGAAGCGCTATCTTTGTGAAACTCATTTTAACAAGAAGGATATAAAATGGTATTGTTATAGAAAAACCCTTCATAAAAACGCAGTGCCTATACCATACGACACATTAAATGAACAAACTCATTACGTCGAGTATGAAGTAGTAGAAGTTGAGTTTCAACACGCGGAGGTAACATCCAGTGACAATACTTATCAAGTTGACAAAATAAGGTATACTTGCTGTTTGCATTTAATAAAATCATTACAATTACAATCATTCTAAACACTTTCTATTTCACATATATTTAGTGAATACAATGATAAAAATGAAGTCGAGGAGAATGTACTGTTGTCACCAAACCATACTTGCATACTGTCCGATACTGATAACGAGGAGGAAATGAACGAAACTATATGCACAGAAGAAGCATTGGATTCATCGCAAACAGACTTAGAACACATAAATACTTCGCAGTGTGATTTAAGTGCACAACCAGTGGCTGACTTAATATCAGCATATTCTGATTGTGAAACTCCTTCATCTCCCGAATTCGATGCGTCAATATCCAATTCGGCAGTTTTGATCAATAAAGATTGTATTACAAATGAAGAAACAATATCTACGCAGCCTGTGATAAATGACAATAGTGAAATTAATTGCGATATAAACGCAATTACCATGACTTATGATAAGTCAAGCGACATACCCAACGAATCAGTTTCACTGTGCATAAAAAATCCTCAAACCATCAGCAGTGATGAAAATTCTCTGGCAAATATTAACCAGTTGCAAGAGCAACGAATGCTTCAATCCTATGAATCAGATAAGCATTTTTCACTGTCCCTTGTATATTATTTCCAGCGGTTAAACGCTAAAAAGAATATGAAAGCTAAATTTGATATACTTAGCTACTTAATGGCACTCGAACAGGATGATGATGCACAGTTGGGAAGTAATAAATTAGTACAAAAATATAATTAAGTATCGCTGTTAATATAGTACAGGTTCCAGATATTGATGTTCGTCATACATAAAATGTGTAACACCATTAAATAATTAATAAAGTTGGTATCTAAATTGATATGAAATTTGTCAGTAAATTAAGAACAATTTTTGGGATTAATTTTTTTTTTGCAACTAATTTTATTTGTTTTATTGTGTTTGTTGTTTAACTTAGCTACTCTATATTTTTGCAGTATGTATAACAGATGATCCCTATATTAAGCATAAAATCGACTATAGAAAAATACAACAATATTTTGTTTTTATCAATATTACAAAATATTATGTAACAGCTTTGCAAGTTTAATAGTTGTGTTAAAGAAAAATAAAACTTAATAATATAGTACACAGTAAAATCATTTAAATGATATTAATGTTTTTACGCAATTACTTTTGTATTTAATTATAGGTATATACGTACATTTTTCAACTTCAATTAATTTTCATTTGCAAAATAATATGTATGTATGTGAGATTCAAGTATTCTCCCTCTGGTTAAAATATTTATATTGGAGTATTACTTTCTCTTAACTACATACATATAATATATTTGACATTAACTTTTTTTATTATTATTAATACTCTTTTTTTAATCAATGCCGAAGATAATGTTGGGGAACGAAAATAATATGCGTGTTTGCTTTTCTAATCGATTTTTAATCTTATAGAAAGTATTTAAACAATTTAACAATTCTAATCTGCAAAATGTGTGCTGCTCTGTTCGCCTTTTATTACTATTTAAAATGCACATTCATCTTGTTGATTGTCATGCCTACTGTAAATTCGAAGCCTTCAAATCAAGTGCTCTGTGCGAGGGAAATAAAAGTATGTATATTTTATATTTCTGTAAAAAAAAAATATTAAGAATCTAAAAAAAAAAATACTTAATTTTTTACGATCTATATCGTTCAAGCGTGGTTTAACAAAAACTTTTCTCACTTAATAAATACATTAGAATCATTGTTTTATTATTATTATTTTTTTTTTTTGATTTTTTCATATTTGTTTTGTCTATTTTTATTTATATTTTATTTTACAATTTCATAGACATATATGTATGCATGTATGTATGTATGTGAGTTTGCACTAGATGCTAATTAAGCTTTGAAGATGTGTCTTTAAAATTCGTTGAGAAAGTAACCATCGATAGCCGTTTCAGAGAGTCTACTTTTTTTTTGAATAAAAGTTTGAATTTTTTGTACAGAGAAATATTTAAATATTTTTAACTAGTTTTTTATATACTTTAAATGGTTACTGCAGTGTTAATACTTAAAGTTCTCATCGCAGTCTGAGTGATTATTAATAACTAATTATTTATCTTTATATTTATACACACATATTGTTTTATTTTATTATACAAACATGACTACATACGTGTCTTTCTTAAAATAGAATTACAGCAAAAATCAGTTTGTTTACCAAACAATTAATATTACATATTACTTGCATATTAAGATTTCTTTACCGTTAAACTAAGCATTACTATGGATACGACTTCAGAATGTAGCTATGTGCTAGATTGTTTAGGTGGTCACTTGTTAAGTGGTGGGTTTTGGTCGAACACAAACACAACGAATAAAATTATAATGTGTATTCTTGTGTACTGTGGTGTGGGAAGTAAAATTGAGCAAAACTTTAATACATTTCTAAAAAAAATACACACAAATGCAATAAGTTATAGTTAAAATATGCTCAACCGGAGCAACTTTTGGTTATAAGGTATTTAAAAATTAAATTTGATATATATCATAACTCAGAAGTGGCATACAAGTAAGCTACTTTTACTAGTCAAAGTGTAGCTTACTGAGTCGACAACTAGTATGAGTTATTACTGTCTGCAAAATGTTTTTTATATACAATACCAAAATAAAATTACTACTTTTTGTACTCTAAAAATGCTACTATTCTACACCCGGAACCTTTTTCAACCAAAAGAGCTGCTGTTTCAGGGACTTAACAGCTTTAACATAAAACAGTAAAAGTCACGTTTGATACGTTTAGTAGTACCAGAATATTTATTTTAGATTAAAAATGTGTTTATTTGATAGATTTAAAAACTCCCATTATGGTGGTTCTTCAAAAAAAAGGGGTTTGTCTGTTTTGCAACTACCCTTTACACGTAAGAAATAAGTTAAAAAATATGGTTGATTGTATACCTCTTAAAATTTAGCAGTTATGAGTTAAAATTCTTGTTATTTTGGAGAAGAAGTCAGCTTGCTTGTATGTTTATGAGTTATTAATAAGGGGAATTTAACCCTTCGCAGTGCATCAACTCAGATTTTAAAGAAAGTAAGTTTTTTGTTTCTAAAAAAGAAAAACTTTGAGATACGTTTTTTTTTTTTTTGATTAAAACAAAAAATTAATTGATTAAAAAATAAATTGTGTTGCACATAGGCAACATTTATGAAAACTAATTAAATTTAACGCTTCGAACATTTTCTGATAAAAGCAGTTGTTCACCCAAAAATAATGAAGTACTTACGTTCAAAATAATAAACTTTTCTTGATTAAAATTTACTTGTTTAATTACCACAATATTCACAGAAATTACCATAAACCCTCAGACCACAGCAGTAACGTGCTAAAATTAACCGTTATACATATAAATGCAGCTGCTTGAGGGGTACCATATACTGGTATCAGATATTAAACCTAACAGCATAACAAAAAACTCAGTTGCATTTTGTCAGGTGATTACAAAAAAAAATGTTATGTTGCAGTGCTGCAACAAGGCGCTATGAAGGGTTAAAACTATTGAAATACATACATATATATGTTTATCTATATTACCTACTCATTTTTATATATTTTCTTTATATGTATTTATTGTAGACACAATTTTTTATATATGTAAATACATACAATTAGATTATTAATATAAGTACATGCATATTAGAGAAATTTCAAGGTACTCAGTTTTGTGTCATTCCAAAATATTCTATTTTTTATTTTGCTAGTTTTTCTCTCTTTAAGAGAACAGATTTTTTGTAAAAAAAACTATTAATCTATAAAAAAAATTTAACTTCAGATTACATTGCAATGTTTTAAGGCCATTTGTAGACAGCCAAATCATATAAAAACTTTCATTATTACAGCCTAAATTCTCCAAAGCAGAGCTTAAACGCAACAGTAACAGATATACATACATACATATGAATTATATTAATAAATGACTTTCTTTTAAATAAATTTAATTTGTTTTCTAAACTAACAAAAATAGTAAAACTTTTTTATACAGTAGAAAAACAGTAACAAAACATTATAAAAGAAATACATACTTCTTATTTTTTGTTTATTACAATATAACATTCTATAACGAAAATAATTACATTTGTGTTTACTTGATTTTCTTAATAATAAGGTCTATGTTTTTTATATGTCCTAATATTTATGAGTCCAATTCTCGACTCGTTCATACATATTGCAAACTAAATATACATACATATTTAAAAGCCACATATAGAGATTCGTTGAGTGTTCGATTTGAAAAAGGTAAAAAAATTAATCACAAATGAATATTAAATAACGAACAGTTTAAAGCAAAAAAAATTATTATTTTTACTTTATGCATATTAATATATATAAGTTCGTTAAATAAAACGAAATATTACTGTATTATATAAAAAAGCTGGCAGTAAAACTTGGGTATAAAAAAAAACCCAGAAAAATGTAAACACACATTTCACCCAATAATATATATTTCGCTACTTAGCTAATGATTTATAGTAAATATAATTACACAATATTCTCTTTTCTCTAGCGCTTTTCTTTGGCTAGGCTTTTCTTTATGTAATATTAATGATATTGATTTTTAGATATATGTAACTGTATTCGCATATGGGAGCGTATATAAACCACGTGGCTTTAAATCCTACATTATAGCCACATCGCTACAAGGAGGAGGTGGGAGCAAATCTACGAAGGTTTCTTTAGATAATTTTTAATGATGATTTTTACTAATAATAAGAATAAATTCTAATTATTAATCATTCAAATAAATTAACTTCAAATAAAAAGTTAGTAAAAAACGAGAAGAAATATGAAACGAGACCACGTTACATCGGGCAAAGAACATACAGGTAAAAGGAAAGGAATGGCTACGTTAGGCTACAAGCAGTGAAGGAGAGTTCGCTGAAGGCCACGTGGTTTATGGACAATCCCTATCTCAAATAATGCAAAAATTCTTTTAATACACATACGTATATATACATATGTGGTAGTTTGTCTGTTGGTGTGTTTTTTGTATGGACTAGATAACCGTTTGAATATTGCTTCTGTACATTTTCTGTTCTGTGGATGCTCATATTTGGGCCGTATTCTAGCTGGATCGCCGTTTCTTTCTTATTAAATGGAAGCTACAACTATGTCTTATACAAATATTCATTATTTATAAATACATACATACTATGTAATAATTTCATCACGTAAACGCATAGAATTATGCCCAGCATAAACTGCTTTACGTGTCAGTTTGAAGTTTATTTTTGTTGTTTTCATATTTAATTTTTACTTTTTTATAATGTAAGTTTTGCATAAATTTTAATTTAATAATGCTTCTCTTTCTCCATCTGATGATCTATTATTTTCATGCGCACGCACATCTAAAAGTGGTGTTTTTATATCAGGCTCTAATGCCGAATGACCGTTACAATGTTCGTTTGTGGTTTGTAGGTGATTTTCTACTGGATGCTTGATTGGTTCCTCACTCTTTTGATGAGATGTCGATTTGGTAACACTGCCTTTTTCGGATTTTCCCTAAGAGAAAAATAAAAAAAACGGCAAATGAATTAAAAACAAACTTATTTTTCTCTTTTTTTAATTAACACTTACCTCCAAATAAAAGGTCATAAGTTGACCTTTACCCTTTACACTAACAAGTCCTCGCTGTTGGAATGTGTAACCGAATTCTTGTAAAATGTTGCAAGTTTCGTCTGTCACCTGACAATATAAAATTGAAAAAAAATAAATTTTATATTATATTTGTATATTGTACAATATATTGGTAATTATTAGAGAGAGAGTAATATTTTAGTTTTAGGAAAGTCTTTCTTTACTACTTAGAAGGAGCGTAAAATCAATATTTATCACCTAATTATTCAACGGCAGGATAAGGAAGTGAACATCTTCTCCTTAATGGGAGCGATTCTGCGTTGGATTTCAAGGCTGTCATTATTATGACAACTTCAGCTCGTATTATTTTATTCAGCATTAAATTAAATAATAAAAAGTCGCTTTGTCGCGACGCCATTTCCATTCCTACAAACCTTTTGGTGTTATGTTAGTTAGTTAGTTTAAGATGTTGCTCGATCACGTAACCCTGGCTATGTACACTTTGGCCTACTGGCCCGATAAGATATCTATGTTTTTAAGGAGATTCCTTTCACCTTTCCTATGCTCAAAACTCTTGGTGTGTTTTATGATCATTCGGGCGATTAATCAGGCTTACCAATGCAAGCTCTACAAGCAATCGATGAAAAAATTTCAGAGAAAACGATATCCGGCTGAAGAGCTGGGCAGTGACAGATTTAATGTTCCACCAATTTCTCCTCGTAACAGGTAATTGGCTGAGAAAAGCGGTATGCCCACGGCATGTGGTTATGACTGTTCCGTTTCTGATAAGTTTGTCGGCAACGTAATTACCTGTTATGTCCCTATGATCTGTAAACCAAACCACATACGTTCCGCAAACAGTCAAGAGTTTTTTTCTGCATTTTATAGCGGCCTTTGGGGTGGTAGGATTGCTTTGAAGAGACTTAATGGCAGCCTGATTGTCAGAATATAATCTAATATTTTGGGTTATTGTATTAGTAACGAGCAACCAAGAAGCGACTTCCAACATCGCGGTTAGTTCTGCATGAAAGAAGCTGCAGTAGTCGCGAAGTCTTTTGCTTAATTCTTTGGAAAAAGGTTCATAGTTTAGAGCCGTTGGTGAGGATGGCTATGGATCTAAGATCCAGAACTGTAGTATTTTCCCATTCGTTCCTCTCAGGGATTATTACTGAAAAAGTTTTGTCGAAACCGCAGATGGTGTGGGGCATCTCTTCTGAGAATGATGTAGAGTTTAGTATTTGGAAGTGTCCTATATGGCTCTTCCATGGTTAAGTTGAATTTGGTTAGCTTTTGGTTTTGCTCAACATCACTTTACTTAGCCAGTTAAGAAGAAGCAAGTTAAGAGGAAGCAAGGTTAAGATTTGGATAGAGGTCGAATTTCCACGACTAAGATCTAAATAGTTCATTGATAGCTTTATTATCTCGCACATTACGCTCAACATACATTAAGTTGTTGCTTAGGACCAGTCGAGATTCTTCCCAGTCATTGATGTCATCCAACGGGAGAACCAGGAAACTAGCGTTCGGACCAGAATGAAATGGCGAATAGGCGAGCTTTAAGGGGCATGCAAGGAACTGGTTAGTGTCGTGCGTTGTCTCATTGTATACAGCACGTTGGATATGTCGGGGTTAAGTCTGGATAAGTGGGATTGAAGTCGACTACAATATGCAGATCTTAATTGTCTCTCAATGAATGGTGTTTAAAGTCTGCCGGTTCTTACGCGTGGTTCTGAAAGCAGACTTTATAGTCGAGCACTTCCTTCTTCATATGCCTAGGTGGATGTTTTGCTGTGCAAGTGACGATCGGGTGATATCTGAAGGTTTCCTATCAGGACCCTGAGGGCTGTGTTCTGGCACAGGCTTATAGCTTCTTCATCTGTGTCTCGTTGATCAGCGACGTCCATATCCACCAGCATTTATCAAGAGCCCTCATTAAAAAACCGTTCCTATCAAGGACATATCTTATATGCTAAGAGGGCATTTTTCTACGCGCCTACTTACAAAATCTTCCAGTCATTATAGTTTGTTTTCGTGATTTCAACCTTTTGTTGAATTTCTTCTCTGATCGATGTCACTTACCTGTATAGCACCAGCTTTGCCCGTACTCTCCATACGTGACGCCACATTCACTGTGTTGCCCCAAATGTCATAGTGTGGTTTACGTGCGCCAATAACACCAGCCGTGATGGGGCCGTGATTAATACCCATTTTCAGTACAAAATGATTAAACGATTGTTCATTAATGCCATGCAGAGCCTTCTTTAACTCCAAAGCAAATTCGACCAAAACTTCTAAATGTGCCCAACGCTTGGTGATTGGATCATCCGGTTGACTTGTGCGATTTGAATTAATGCCACTTGCAGCCATATATGTGGAACCGATTGTTTTGATTTTAATTATATCTTGAAATTGTGGCAACTCGAGTAACTGTAAAATGGACATTTGTTTATGTAATTATTATTTTAGAACGGAAAATAATTCATGTGTAAAAAAACTTACTGCATCAAAATCGGAAATGACTTCGTTTAAGAATCGCAAACATTCCAATCCTTGATTGTTAACTGTTTCCTCAGAGTAAAAATCTAAATATGGGTACAAATTAACTTTCTTTTTTTTTTTGTAATTACATTAAGATATATAAATTTAACTACCTGAAAAATTAGGCATGCTGGCAAAGAGAACGCCCACTTCAGCATAACTCTGTGAGTAGAGATCATCGTGTGATCGTTTGGTGTTCTTCATAAAATGCTCGGCCACGTGAACGGGCAATATATTATAGACCAAAGCTTCATTTCGTTGCCGCATATCTGTTGCCTTTTCGCGTTGCTCAGCTACTTCAGTTTTCCACTTGAATATTACGCGATCCTCGCGATCCATCTATATCGAGTATTGTGTAATCGGATGAGTATTAGCGGTTTCCATTTTAATGATATTTATTTAACTACTTACGAGACGCACAATAAATGATAATGCCACTGCAGCCATTACTAATACCGTCGATACTCTCTTTGATGTAGGCATTGTACTGAAAGTAAAATAGAGGTTACATGCTTAAAGAAAATCTTCAAATTAATATACGGTTATTCACTTCGTGGTTTCAAAAGTGCAGGGTTGTATTTTGACATCTGACAAACTTCATTGTCAAACCTAAAATGTTTTGTTTTAGTTAAAAGTCAGGCATTTATGAAAAGGGATGGCTTAACAACCGCACAATACGTTGAAATTGTCAAAACACATTACAAAAATGGTGATTCGGACGTGGCCACTTTTTTTGCTTTAAGAGAAGATTCGACCGACTACTCAAGCAATTTTTAAAATTTTAAGACACTGGATCGGCTTCAGATATATCTCGTTCAACCTCAAATATCGTTATTGTAAGTAAAAGGGTAGTCGAAGTTGACGTTCTCAAGAGCTAGGACTTTCTTATGGCACATTTGCAATCAGACTTACACCTAAATCCATAAAAAGACCAGCTTGCAATACAAATGAAGCCAGCTGACCATTCACGTCAATTGGGGGCTTGATCAACAAGTAATAGACTGTGATTTTTCGAACGAAATTTTCATCAGAGACGAAGCACATTTCTCAATCTGGTTATACGTAGATAAATGCAAAATTTTCGTATTTAAATAATTGCACAGAGGAGGTGTGCTTGGATCTTACTTGCTTGAAAACGAAAACGGCTAATCTGTCAGTGTCAATTCGGAGCCTTATGATCGTCTGGAATTGAAGAACAGGACTCAGACAATATATGGTTGGAAAAAAAGGTGCCACAAGCCGTATAATCCAAGCATTTTCCCCGGCCGCGTAGTCTCGCGTGTTGTCTATGTCAATTGATCACCGAAATCGTCCGCCGAGATTATCGTTGGACTTTACTTGCGAGGCTACGTGAAAGACCGTGTTTATGCGGACAACCCTTTACTTCTCTGAAACACTTGAAAACCAAAATTCCTAAAATTATGGCTGAGATATCGGCCAAAATGCGCCAAAAAATGGTCGAGAATTACGTCAAATGGGTCGAAGTTTGCGAAAACTCGCGAGGCGGACATTGGAATGATGAAGTGATTTACATATAATGCCAAGGTTAAAACTATATATTATATATATATATTAATTTAATGAAATAAACATTATTTCCGTTTATTTACGAAACCGCAAAATGGGTAAATGGATATATATTATATGTATACTCACGGATTTCCCGACATGTAATCTTCGAATGCATATAAATCACCCAAAATATATATATTGCAGTAGCAATGTAGTGCTGAAAAAATATTAAATTAAAATAATTATTTTAAGGAGCAGAATCAGTTTTTCATCTTACATACTCGTACATATGTATATACATTATGCAATAATTATACGAGCACACTCACCTGTGATAACCATCATCAATACAATTTTCGTAATATGAGTCAATTGAGCGATGACAGCGATGGCAACCAATATCAAGACACAATAATTGCTCATATACGATGGATACATGTGTATTACACCCGTTACGGAATCATTTGCTCGTATAGATGCAGAGACCGGCTCCACTTGAATAGCAATAGCCTCTGTAAAGGTGTCGATTTCACTCTCTAAAACAACGTGATCCGTTTTCAAGTAGGTCACATAGAAATACTGTGAATGAAAATATTGGACTTGATATTATTATGGAAATAATAATTATTTGTAAATTACAAGGCTGAGTTCATTGCTTTGGGGAGTTTTCCTGAACAATTCTTAGATCCTTGTGGTCCTTTGATCTACAATAATTAACTGAAGTCGCGATAACCGAGTGGTTAGCTGTACGTACTGCCTTCCGAAAGGCCAGGGCTCGAAAATTGTATAAAATTAATTGAAAATAAAAAATTAAGTTGCCAACTCCTCCGATTGGATTTCTGACATTAAATAAAGGCTTCTCATAAAAACCATCGTTTGGAAGGGGCTTAGTATAAACTGTTACTCCATTTTTTAGAAAAACAAAAACATAAAGACGCGCACCACAAATTAAAAGAGGAGCTTGGACAAAAATATATTGGTCAAGTATAAGGATCTTTGTGTTCATTTGTCCGATTTAAGTCAAATATGCGCCGTTTTGTTCGTAAATTTGTTGCCTATGAGATGCCAACTTCATAATACCGGTCTCGTAGAAGGCTGCGTCCCTATTGGAAAAAACTGGGACAGCCTATTTTCACAGGCCTCTCTTGAGGCGCGTTCGCCATGGACAGGAAAAGATGGTAATCACTTGGTGCCAGGTCCGGACTATAAGGTGAGTGCATTAGGACCTCCCATCCGAACTTCTGGTGCTTCTGGCGCGTCACCAAAGACGTGTGTGGCCTGACGTTGTCCTGATGAAACACAATTCGGCCACTGTTGATCAAAGATGGCCTGTTCTGGATTAGTGCAGCCTTCAAGCGGTCCATTTGTTGGCAGTAGAGGGCCGAATTGAGCGTTTGGCCATAGGGGAGCAGCTCGTAGTAGATGATTCCTTGCCAATCCCATCAAACACACAGCTAAACCTTCCTGACCGTCAATCCGGTATTGGAAAACATCCACGACCGTTTGCATTCGGTGTTATCGTAAGTGGCCCATTTTTCATCGCCAGTTACAATCCGCTTCAGAAACGGGCCGATTTTGTTGCGATTCAGCAGCGATTCACAATCCAAGTTTATGCAAATGGTTCCAAACGGTTTTCTGACTTATCATTAGTTCCTCAGCAATTAAATAAGTGCTCACGTGACGGTCTGTTTTCACTATTTCCATGATTTTATCTCAATTTTCGACGACAAGCCTCCCAACGCGTGGTGCATCTTTGACATCGAAATTACCGGAACGGAACCTAGCAAACCACTTTTGTCCTACACGTTCTTCGTTAATCGAAGAAAAATTTTAAAACTTAGCGAACTTTCTCTTTGCTGGTGTCCATCTTTGACAAGCGCTCACAACGTACTGAGTCAATTAATCGAAAAACTGTCGAAGACAAACTTTTAGCCCGAATAAACACGTTTTCAGCGCCGTATCGTACGACATGATGTGACAGTAGTACTATGGACAATAACACCATCTCTTAGATAAAACCGAACGAACTTTTTACTTGACCTAACATTTTTCGGGCTTGCTAATTCTTATTGGCTGAACTCGCAAATTCTCTTCCAAAATAAATGTCAAAATTGTATTCCGTTGATGTAAGTTTTATTGACGTTTTGCCTTACCGAACTCGGCTCAGTAAAATAGGTAACAATTGTTATTGCTTATCAACTCTACAAGCGGAAAAGAGACTGGACTTGGAGTCGACGGTAGTACATTTTAATAGGTGTATGCCTTATCTTTTGGCTTTGCATGCCTTTAATCTATGTCTGGTGGAGGACAACAGTCATAAGAAATGTAGGGAATATGTGAAGACAGTGGTTCACATAATCTCTGCTTACTGGGCGCTGAAAAGCTGCAGGTCCTTCACTCAACAATGTGCAAAGGGCTTAAATGACTGCTTCACTTTGCGAAAAGAACAACAGTTTTCTTCAAACATGAGACGCAATAAAGAATGTAACTGTATAGCTTAGTTATCCATAAGGAGTCTGGTAACATTATGAACATAGAATCGCCTTAGTGAGATTCAAAGGGTGAACCAGCTTAACCTAACCTAACCTGCCCAGCAGTTCGCCGGACGCGCTCAATAGATATCTTCATACTTTTAGATAGACTCATAATTAGCTAAATTCTAAAAGATTTGATTGTCGAAATCTAGATCCGTTGCAGGCTGAAATGAGCTGATAACAACACATTAAAAAAATATGCCCTTAAATTGTGGATTATCATCTATTGCCTCTATCTTGTCGTGGTGTTGGTCTAGAAATCATGGTTTACCACGTGCGAGCAAGTTTACTGACGATTCTGCGTAGAGTAAAAAAACAGGGACCTGAGAAATGGTAAGAAAAAATTACATTCATATATCTAATCCAATTTAAGCACTGAGGACAAAAATATAGGTCCACTAAGGCTATATGTAATAGGGAGAGCTTCCTGGCAAAACTTCAAGAACAGATTAAATCACAGGACAGTCTTTGCTCCAACAACGGAATGAAATCATTTGAAATGCTTCTTAATGCTTACTTTTTTAACTTACATCCCAGAGCGGAAACCCCTAGAGGTGACCGACAGAACGGAGCAGATAGGAAACGTAAGGGTTTTCGTTATTCCAAAACTAGATCTTCGGGCTTAGGCTTTGAGAACGAACAACAGGCTGACAAATAGCGAAAATTATGTGCGTAACGTATTACGCAAAGAGATCGCATTCCAGAACGCTTGTAGAGCTACTAACAGGTCATTGCTTTTTGGTTCCGGGTGCATTAATTTTTTAGCATGGTTGATGAAAACAAATGCCGCAAATGCACTAAAAAGTTATAAGACAATACACCTATGAGCGCCCGGTGTTCTGCAGAGAGAAAATAATCTAACTTGGCGGGGATAAACTGCAGGGTCTTTAGTTACCAATGAACAAAGTGTCCGAATTCTTCCTTTATTTTACAAGGCCAACAGCAATGTTCTTAAAACCAAAGACACTATACATAAAGCAGTATATTAGTTTGGTCACATGTAGTCTATCTGGGAACACTATCGATCATTTATTTGAGATTGCCCAAGGAGTTAACCAGCTGAACCGAACATAACCTAGTTTTTACCTTTCTCAAAGCCAGTAAGTAGTCATTGTCTCTCTAAATCCAACCAAAATCATAATTTTATCAGGAGCTTATTCATAACAGAGCAATGGCAGGTGGAGGCATGCTGCAACTTACATAGATGAATTTTTATCACACTCACCATATCCACAACATTACTGAGTCCAATTGTCAATGCCAAAATTATTGCTGTTAATTCTCGCACGAATGTTATATCGTTGAATCGTTTACTTAAGCTGACGATGGATTCTGGTAAATAATTTGGAAAACTTTCAGCTATTGAAATGAAGACCAACATAGTCATGGGTATTAAAGGTGTCGAGATATTTATAAGATGTAACTGTGATCTATGAGGAAAACAAATTTTTTATTAAAAAAAACTTATTATTTATTACTGAATAGAGCAGCTAACCTTGGTAGTATGGCTGAGGAGTAGATAATGTCGAGTAGTTGTACGAGTAGAGCTGCGATTAGTGGAAGTGATGAAAAGGGTTCACGGTGGGCGGCATAACCATCCTCCAAGCTTTTCTCTTTGAATTTTAAGAAGAAATTTGTGCATTTCGAAAGATCTCTGCAAAAAAATTAAAAAAAAAAATTTAAAGTATGATGCTAAGTTTGATATGAACTAATCTTTTTGATTATAGAGAAATTATTTATTTTACTCTTGACACACTCTTTACTCCCTTTCTTGTTAATTAGCGAAGTCATTTGGATTGTTGCTAAAGCGTATATCGGCGTCAATGTAAAGTACGAAGTCTAGCCAAGCTTTGGGGGTCTTCTTTGAACGTTCTCTAATCTTTTTTTCCTCTAAAGGGACAATGGGATCTAGTCAGCGTAGCCGTGATTCAAGATAAGAGTGCGATAACTGTCGATTTGTTGGGAGGAGACATTAATGAATTCACACCAGACCCAATCGCTGCGGCTCTTTGTTCAATTTCGAGAAAGTAGTACTAACTAATTGAGGCTAAAGCTATCAATACCATCGGCATACGTTAGCAAATGCATACTTTTTTAACTCTACAGTTAATATGCTTTTCCAGTAGTAAGTCTAAGAATTTTACAAGAGCATCGAATTCAGACAAAGTGGTCGTTGACGGTGGACTTTAATCAAGTATCAATATTGATTGGGGAGTTCACTTAGGTTTGAATGCTTTCGGGCCACCTTCTTCTGCAAAGTAGCTGATAGATGCATTTTGTCGGCAAATCTATTCCAATGTCATCGATTGGGGCGTTTTACTTTCACAGCTATTCAGCAAGCCAGAGCTCAGTATGTCCTAGACATTGGTTAACAGATTACCTCCTTACTTCTTACGTACTCCGGTCTTGAGACGTTCTGTAATTCACAGCATCGTTTCATAAAATTTTTGAATATTACTTCTGTAGTAGAACTTTTCAAGCTCTATATATTCACGCACCGCGACAGTGTTGAAAATCAATTGGGTTTGTTGCACCGGTATGTAGGGCACATGAAATGCCATCCACACAGTTCCTTTACATCCCGTTCTGATTAGTGTTCTCAGAATGAAAGCGTACAAGTTGAGTAGGAAACCGACAGCCAAATCATTGTACTCGCAGTTTTTCAATATAGAACTCTCACTTTGTTTTTCGATTAGGTTTATTTACTGCACAGAGGTGGGTGCATATCTCCGCTGTGACAAAATGGTAATTCGAGTAGATGTCATATTCTTGGAGTGTACGTACATCTAGAACATACTTTCTACGGAATGACAGTTCATTCCATTAACCCTATCGCTGTAGCATCCATCGCATTACGTAAGAGAAAACAAACTTTACGGAGCTCTATTGCACCTGGAGGATGCAATATAGATATATAGACTAGTCCGAGTCGGAGGTTATGGACTTAGCCTATCATACCGGGTGATCTAAAATGGTTAGTATGAAAGCGATTATACACCAAGGAAATCCACAACCGACATCGAAAGCCACGTCTAGAATCAGCCTGACTATTGTCAAGTTTGTACTTTTTTTTTGGGGCTTTAGTGTGATAGTAGACACAAGATAAAGGATCGCACTATTAAGGTTATAGCGTATGCAATGACATGTTCTGCGTCGGGTCATTTGATCGCAAACCTCTTATGTATTAAAACAACCTTAGTAAAATTTGTAACAAGGAATACTACTAAGAAACCGAGGACGATATACAAACTCGACATGCTGAGTGAAGAAACACGTACGAGGGAACGTTTCTATGTACGCAAAATGAGGGGGGTTATATGATCAAAATGTCTACAGTGCCTTATAATTATTGTTATTAGACGATTAATCCTTCAGCTATCGTGAACCCAGCAAATATAATTCCTTGCCTAGCAAGAAAAATCAGTTGCGACCATACTGAATGAGATGTCATTGGTTTACGGCGACTCTATACCGGGAAAACCTATGATGTACACAGTTTATTTAAGCAATGAAGGAAGGAAGGAGCATCGAAGTGACCTTACGAGAACTTATTCAAAAAGTTAAGAAATTACTCTCGAGGACTCCCGACTATTGAAGAAACAACTAGTAGAAATGTTTGGAGTACCCGATACTACCATTTTTAAAATCCTGCACGATTAGGTCATGTCCAGCTAGGTCATGGGTACCAAGAATGCTAAAATAGGAATCCACAAGAGGCGCGTTGCATTGACTGGCCCATATAATATGTACTACGATATTTTGAATCACTCATCCTACATACTAACAACTGGCTCCTATGGGTTAGGAGTTCAAGAATTTACCGAATAGTTCCCGCGACAGTCGGGTCTTTATCACTCCCACAACATTCCCCGAAAAATACTTTGGGGAATATTTTTGCGCATACAACAACAACATCAACAACAAAAAACTGTCCTCGATTGCTTATTACCTGTTTCCGAAATTGGAAAAAAGAGCTGAGGGGTAAAAAATGCATCACCGACGATGAAGTCAGGGAGGCAGTTTCGCCGCATTTTGAAGAAATGGAAACACTTTTTTTATAAATAAACTAATTGAAGGATCTGAAAGATGTATCCGTCTTGCAGGTATATACTGCTCTGTGAATAATCCCCGTACGGGTCCGGGAAGAGAATACACCGGCGGCAAGGCATGCCTGTCGTAAAAGGCGACTAATAGCCTTGGTAGTAACTCCGGTTACAAGGTCTGATCGGAGACTTTAAACCCGGTACCACGGGAGACAGGAGCCCTCGAGGCTTGCTCCGACCTGTTTCGGTTTAAACCTAAATGGATGAAGAGTTGGTGTGACGTGTGGGTGGTATGAATTTGCATTGCAACCGGGTGTTGGTCTCATAGCACGGCAGAGGTTTTAGATGGGCCTCGAGCCTCACCAAGGTGGCCAGTATGTCCATACCACACAGACGATTGGAACCATAGTGTAAGTATTACCTTTCGTAATACTCTCACTACGGGGTGCTGATCAAAACCTTGAGGTTAGGCCGACGACTGCAGATATTCACGTAAAACATCTCGGACTCTACTCGTTGTATAAGGATATCTCCTGATTACAGCAGCTACATGAACGACACTTAATAGTATATTCTCAAAATAGAATTTGCAAATCGTTCGACCAACTCTACAACCATGTGAAATGCGGGTGGGATACCGGCCAATTACAGCTGATTGCATTTAAAATCTCCAGTCAGTCAGAAGGCTTCAAGATCCTATTTTAATTTCCAATAAAGTTTTTTCGTTCAAAAGTCTCTTTACTTACTCATGTCCATCTCGTGAAATTAGTTCTTCTTGCAGTCGCACTTTGAAGTTGTTATTCTTACTGTTCGTTGGGGACTTCTTGCCAGTAGTTTTATCTTCAGCCATGAAGTTTTTATCATACTCTTCAAGAAGTTTCGCTCGTTCCACACTTAGACGACGTTCCTCCTCAAACTAAGGATGAAAATTGATAGCATAATTAAATGGAAAAGGCCTTGTACTTTCTACCACTAACCGGTTCCAAAACATTTGTTATGAAATAAGTCTTTAAGCCCGCTATACGTAAAGCTTCATCGTGGCGTTCGCCATATGCTGGTTCTACTTCGAATTCACCATTGAGGAAAGCTAAGGTTTTGTCCGAAATATGTACGCGGCTGTAAGCATGCAAATAAATTTTCAAATACATTTACAATGTACTCTATACACTCTAGCCCAATTGCCCTCTGGCATGACAATATACTCACCCGGCTTTGCCACTAGATTCCATTTTATTAGCCAACTCAACATCTTTGGAATATATATCGAATTGCCACTGTCGCTGACCGAGTATGCCTGCCAATATAGCGCCGGTATGTATGCCTACTCTCATATCAACAGGCGAATTGGCCTTCTGTTGTACATATCTGCACACATGCACATGCACGCACACGCAGATGACACAGAGAGCAAGAAAGAAGACAAGTGAAGAAGAAGAATAAAATTGAGAGAGAGAGTGCATTTGTGTGAGGAGCTCATCTTTTTACATTTAGCAAACAAAAGCAAGAAGGCGCGACTGACGTATACTTACTTAATAGCTTCCACCATTGAAAGGCCCATATGTACACAGAGTACAGCATGGTCAGGACGTTCGTCAGGTGCACCACTAATGCAATAATAGCAATCACCAAGGATTTTAATTCTTAACTGATGGTATTTCTATGTAATTAAAGGTGAGAAAAGTGAAAAGTTTACATTGGTTACGAGATGCGAGTATGTAAATATGTATGTAACTAAATGAATATTTAACTATGCACACACGTTTACATATGTATGCATATACACTATGTATGTTTATATAGTGTTATATATATATCAGTAGGTGTCATAAAATATGATTGAACTGCAGGATGTGTTGTGTTGTTGGCAACTGTCAGCAAGAGTGAAGGCCATTGGACCACCGGCAGGATATGTTACGTATACGACTAATGTTGGTGAGTGTATGTGTGCCATTGGCAGTTTATAAAAATAATGAAAACTATGAAATGGTCTTGAAGGAAAATGAAAATTATGAAACATGGTATTTCAATTAAAAAATGAAGAGGGGAAGGCAATAACTAAAAGTGGGACTCAGTTTTTTTTTTAAATAAAGCAAGAACTTGGCGAAGTCCTTCAAATGGAAAGTAGATTTAGTTGTAGACCCTTTCTTAGCTTTTTCTCAGTATGTGCTCACCTTCTTTTGAAGCTTTGCCAATTAAATAAGTTAGGTCTGGCTTGATCGGACTTAGGGGTTAAAGCCACTCTAGAGGTTGAAAAATAGACTAATCTATAATAATTTATTATAGGAAAATGAGAAAAGGAATGAAATTTCTATTTAACCATTTCACAATTTCATTGAACATATATTGAAGTATAAAAAATGTTTCATTAGTTATTATTTTGTGGTTTTTTTGAAAGGCGGCCACCGGAGAATCGATTTCTTCTAAAGGATAAAACTTAAAACAAAAAAGCAAACAGTTTTATGATCTAAGAACTATGGACCTTTGAAGTGCGTATTAACTTATTTTTTAACTAATTTTTGTGAAAGCGGCACACTTTTTTTTAAAAGAGATTGATTTTTGACTAAATAATACGCACTAAATTTAAAAAAAAATGTTAATGTCAAAAATATATTTATGAGGCTACCATCAAAATTTCAGATAAATCGATGCAATTGGGTCCGAATAATCTGTTCTCCAAGTTTGAAAAATGTGATTTTAAGGGGAATGCGCTTAAAGCTTTCATTGTACCCGGCGCTGGCTCTGAGGCGATGCAACAAAATAAAAAGTTTACCTAATTGAAAAGTTCTCTTCACTTTAAAACCAATTACTTATCATTTCTAGAACCCAAAGGTACCCTGTGAGCAAAAAAAATTGCGTTTTCCAAAATCATAGAGCCTCTGTACACCCTAAGAAAATATAATATTTAATCAATTCTTCCTGTAAAAAGTTCGCAGCCGATTAAGTGTATTAGTCTCGAAGACCAGACGAAATAGCAAATAGTGCCTGTTGTGTTGTCACGCAAAAGTTGATTGGAAAAGCTAGACTTCGTCTATAGGCGGATTAACCACGCTCGTTCAGTTATATACTGATTCATTCGAATGTATTTACATATGGACCCTCAATATAACGTTAATCAGTAGTCCTCTTCTTTGAGCTGAGTCCAGCAGCACATCAGCATGGTTTCCGTCCAATGCACGGCACCACAACTTCACTTAAGGCTATAAACACTCAACCAAAAGTGGCCCTGCGTGCGAACTCTCCTTGAAGTATTGGATCTGCCAAAAGTTTTTGACACGGTCAACCGTTCAGTCGAGGTCAAACATAGAAAATTAGAAAGATTAATCATGGGGTTCCACAGAGTGATGTCCTCTTCTCACTGCTGTTTAACTTCTTTATCTCGAAACTCTCCGGTGGAGGATGATTGCTCGATATTGGCGTCTGGCCATGATATTGATGACTTATGTTCGAAAACGAACTGCTAACTCGACGACCTTTCCCACTTCTTCACTGCAAGGCAAATAAGACTACAGCCAGCAAAATCCTACCCTCTTCACCAGCTGAACGAAAGAGTACAGGCTTAAACTCGATTTGAAAGTCAATGATGTGAAAACTCCGACTATAAATAACCCAAATTAACTCGGAGTCACATTCGACAGCTTGTACTCTTTCACTCCTCATATGACTGCAATTACCTCAAAGCTCCAGAGCCGCAACAAAATCCTAAAAGCATTAGCCAAATGCATCGGCGGGGAAAAACAAGAAACGTGCTGAGCGCCGCGAGCTAGCGAGACGCAAATAAAGAAACTACAAGCCTACCAAAAAATTGCGCTTAGGACCGTGACAGGAAATCTTCTAATATCGCCCGAGAATCACTTGCACAGTGAAGTATCTACACTACGAGTTTACTGGGATGCTTCCGTAAGGAACACCCCAACAGACATTTACTAGAAGCTGAACAGCCCCCCAGGCACATCAGAAAGTGACTAGTTGACCAGAAGGACTACATTCAGCACCACTTACAACAACTGCTGTCCTGGAAAGCTAATCGACAGGAAATAAACGTAATTCACCGACACACTTCTTACCGAACAGAGCTAGTGTCAACGTTCAATCTTCATCACTATTGCAGTGGCTAAAACTGGGTGAAGAGAATGACTTCTTGTTAGATCGTCCCAAACTATTATACCAAAAAAAAAACAAACAAAAAAAAAACAGCTCTCTGACTCCCTCGCTCTCTATTCATTTTGTTTAATCTCCGCCAAAAATGCTATTCGATCCCCGCCAAGTGATTGTGTAGAGAATAATAATTTCGATCTTAAATAACATCTCTTTGATTTACCTCGGATAAACTATCGAAGCGCGCAAACAATTCGTTTAACATTTTAACAAGATCCTGAGCGCTGTATGTGGATGATATTGCTGTAAACCCCACAATATCCGCATAAAGAATGCTGTAAGAAAAGTGTATATTTTCAATTAATACAGAATTGATATTATAAAAATTTTATATTTGTTGACATACATATCTCTACACATACCTCACATTTTCATGTCGACTCATGTAAATCTTTTTGAATGGCTCCGAACTAGTTGAACCTAGATCCTGTCGCATTTTAACAGCTACATGCTTCGGCAATACGGACAGCAGTAGACGCTCCTGAAGACAATCATATTATTTTTACAAACATTTACGCTTAAAAGAGTATGCAAAAAACTGAATAACATTTTTCCAAATTAATCTAACCTGTTCAGCGGATTGCTCTTCAATAACCATTTTCACTTCCAAACTCTTTTTCGCCTCCAAAAATGCACGTCTCTGCTTTGCCTCACTCATAAAATAACATAATAACCCAATAACTGCAGCGGTGAAAATCATTGCAGTACTTGCAAAATACTAAAAATAAAATTGCAAGTCTTTCATTTTTGTCTCTTAAAATTTTTTTCAAAATATACTTGTTCCGGTACGAAAGGCTCGTTACAAAATCCCAACCCCCATAATGTCAGCGGAAATATAGTCAAACTCGTTATCCCGAATATAGCGCCCTTATACCAAAGTTGTAAAGGCAGGGTAACATAAAAAAGAAAGTTGAAGAGTATGACCCAACCTAGTAGGTCTCTGTTAAAAGAAAATATATGTAGAAAATATAATTCTTGCTAAATTGTAATTATAAGGTGACCAGATATCGATGGAAGTTTTTAAAATTATTTATTTTTATTTTATTTAGTTTTTTTTCGTGTGAGGCTTTTATTTCATGCCAGAAAAACGCTCGGAGGAGTCGGCTAATATGGCCAATTAGTACTAGTAAAAATTAATCCATTATTTTGGCAATAGATGTAACTAAACATTGCAAAAAACAGTTACATCGGTATGGATGTCGCATATCTGCAAATCTCTGCTTAATCGCAACTACCTTCCGCATCGATCACGCGTACAGGGTAATTCGACCTGTCAAAAGTTTTCGGAATATTCTGCAAATGCGCCTCTCGGTCGGTTGGGCTAGAGGTGAGTAACAAGCAGTGTTACGACGGCATTAAAATAATCCACTTATTTCTGAAGCGCATGGCAATCGGTGATGAGAAGTGAAGCACTTATAGAAACGTCAAACTAGAACGGTCGAGGCTAGCTAGAACAACGGTCTCCAAGAAAGGGTTGTGGCCCACGGTGATTTTCTTGTGTGAACTTTCAGTAATTAGACCTTCTGAAAAACAATGCCACACCACACACATCGATAGTGACCCACCAGAAACCCCGCGAGCTAGGCTGAAAGGTTTTTATATTGTACATACAATTCATGTCCCGGACCTCGCACCAAGCGATAACTATCAGTTTCTGTCTATGGCGGATGATTTGATTATGGGGAATCGATCTCAAGAGAAGCCTCTGAAAATGAAATAACCCAACTTTTTCCCAATTGATTGGCCGCAAGAAAAGCAAGCATTTTTTAAGAATCATATAGAAACTTTATGGGCTTAAACACATATAAACATAAAACACATTTCGGTTGGGTTTATTCGAATCTTCCAAACATTGGATAACTTAGGGTGTTGAGGCACTTGGTAGAAGTTCAAGCGAGTGAGGAAAGTAGTTTACTGCCCGCACCTAGGAGGGATCGTATATGATTCCTTTGCATATTATAAAAGATCTTCACGACTTCCAACTGATCTAATAAAAAATCACAAAACCATCAGATGAGGGATGGAATATCCGGTCCTTTAATTGTGAAGGTGTGTCCTTGAGAAATCTATCACAGCGGTCAAAGTTGATGTTGCATTTGTGGATGAAGAGAGACTCTGAAAGTCAAGTTCTGGCATTCAGATCTCGTCACATCAAAGAAAAATTTTTCAAACTATCGCTGACCGAAGAGAAGAACGTTGTGACCAAATATACTTTCTATGAGCGCCTAGAAAGCATCAGCCTCCATTTTCAAACGGACTGAGTCTTATCGAATCATCGGGGCACCATATTTATCAAACTACAATACATGGCTACCACCAGTTTGAACACAGAAAATTCAAATTTAATGGGGAATGTTAATTATCATTCGAAAGAAAATTTTTTGGCGTTCATTTTTTAAAGATTATCTCTTTTAAATGTTGGCCGCAATTTTCGACGTCTCGTTCGAATATTTCGACTGTGCGGAATGTTTGACTCCAAAGCCTGATTCGAAGTAGGATTGTCCGCAAAAACTTTACATATCCCCACAGGAAAAAGTCTAACGGTGCGATATCACAAGATTTTGATGGCCATTCCATCTGCTCAAAACGTGAAATCATCTGCTCATCGAAGTGGTGCCGCTGAGATCTCAAGTCGATTATCATGGCGCGATAATGGTCATCATTGACGGTTACGTTTTCACCGACATCATATTTTGAAAATATATGGACTGATGATTCAACCGGCCCACAAACCACACCAAACCGTTGTTTTTTCTGTATGAAATTGAAGCTCTTGAAGCTCTTTAGCTTGCTCTCTGACCCAAATGTGGCATATTTTGCTTGTTTACATATCCTTTGAGCCAGAAATAGGCGTTATCGCTGAACAAATTTTGGCACGAAAAAGTCAGATCTTCTTGGAACTTTCAAGATCTCCTTGGAGCAAAAGAGTGTCACTTGGGAAGGTCCACCGGCTTCAGTTCTTATACAAACTGTATTTTGTACGCTTTCCATTTAAGATCTCGACGTAAAATGTACCAAGTCGTTCCATACCTCAGTCGGAGTTGCTGCGAATGGCGCCGAATCGACTCTTCACGGTCTTCGCGTGCACTCTCAGCTGCTGCCGCTATATTTTGTTCAGTGCGTGCTTGACGTGGTCTATTCAGTCGAATATTATCTAATAATGAATACTGAGTCAAGGGAAGGGTGATGGTGTTGGGAATAGTACGCTCAGTAGGCCGATTATCTTGATCATAATTTAAGCGAAGCGCACTAAACACATTCTTTACTGAACTTGAATTTTAGTAATAAAGTTAAACGCTTTTTAAACGTGGTTCAGGCGTAAGTCTTTCCATGATGAAATGCCAAGCAATACCAAAGATAACATGATAACGAAACTTTCACAAATTGCAGATAAATGCGTTGCCCGATTATTTTTTTTTTTTGGGCTGGTAACAAAGTCAAATAAAAATCGTTAAAAAGACTCAGTACCACTTAGCCAATAAAGAAACGCACCGTTTTTCGTCAGAAAAGCAAATCATCTTATCAATAAATTTTCATTAAGCCCTGCAAATTTAAATTAAGAAAAAGTTTTAATTATATTTTTTGAACTCAAATATAGCTGAAAATGTTCAAAAATATTTATTTGCACAACTTTTTGTTAGCGCAGCAGAAAGGCCAAAAAAATTCTCGGAAAATCCCAAAAGGAAACTTTTTTTATCGAAGTGAAACTGTTGCAAGAAGTTATGAAATATGTGGATTTTTAGAGCGCAATCACGAGATAAAGAGTTTTGCATCATGTTATCTTTGACAATACTAAACGAAAATAACAAGACAGCTTGACCCGACTCATGCGTGAGCTGTCAAAAATAAGTCTATTTAAAAAAGTACCTAAAAATAAATTCATAGCAAGCCTCGATGATTTCATAAATTTTACAAGTTCAGTGAATTTTTAAATAAAAGTTTCAAAATTTGTTGTTCAACTTCTTTATTGTAAACACACAGTCTATTAATTCGTTGTATACACACAGTGTACTCCTCTTCAATGTACTCCTCTCACTTTCAAACAACTCCAAACTCAATTGAACATACCCAACGATTTCTCGCAAGCATTTTCGGTACGTGCCATCAAGAACATGCTATAGTAATCGGTTTATTACTTTCATTTAACATTCGAAATCACATTTTCGCCACAATATAAACAAATAGTTTATAAATAATTGAAAACACAATTTGTTTCTATTCGTCTCATCTGGTCACCCTATTTCAATATTGTTTCACGTAAATAACATACCTTGGCGAAGGGTAAATTTCCAGTTTAAAATAGAATATGATATTCAGGAAAAATATTAGCCAAACGAAATATGTAATTTTCATTGTAAGTCTTTTCGAAAAAGTTTGAATATGTTTATGATCGAGCACTCTCCGATCAACAAATATCCTCATAATTACTAAAGTCACTATTTCGATCAAAATATATGAGTTGAAACTTCGCCTATCATCTGCAACTAATTAATTTTTTTTTTTAATAAGTAAGTGAGTATAAATAAAAATAATTTAATATATATTATTTTATAGTAAGTACTTACTAGTTTCCAACGTTGGCGGTTCATGCCGCACAAAAAATGTCCAAAAATTATAAAGTATTGCTGTGAATATGAACCATTTGAGGCCCGCCCGACGTTGTTTGAAAAAATAATTTTCAAATAATTTCTCCAGCACATCTTTTGGCATATCAACGCTGCTGTCTACATTTTCATTTCCATTATCATTTTCGCCAACTGCAACAACACCCTTTTCCACATTCGATGTACTATTACTATGTCCATTCTTCATTGTTGCATTATTGGGATGTTTACTGTTGTTGCAATTTTTTTGTATGCCATTTAACGGTGTGCTTGCAGCTGACTTGGCCTCCAGCATTGCGAGGTTTTTCCTTTCTAGTAGTAGTAGTAGTAATAGTTGTTGCTTTTATTTGTTTCGTTTTCGTCTTTAAATCTAATTCGATTGTTCGATTAGTTGCGATGGCGTTAATTTAATTGCTCCCACTAAGTTTGGATTTGCTCACAACCGAGTAAGTGTGGTTTTTTTTTTTGTATGTATGGTGTGTATGTATGCACGTATTTACTACATTGATTGAGTTTGAGCATTGATACCTGAAGATACATATGTATACAAACATGAGTACGAAAAAAGTTGCAAAAACTATTAACTAAAATGGTTTCAACAATAAATTGAGTTTGAAACTATTTAATGGAAATAGATTTTAAACTGCTTAAGTGACTCCTTGCATTCAAGTTGCATTAAATAATGCAGGCTTTTTCAATAAGAGTTGTTATTTTGATATTAACAAAATAAATCAAGTTTTTGAGAAAAATAATCGAATGTTTATTTCAATGTTATATCAGCTAAATGAGCGTCACGCTTACGCTTAGAGGACCGCATCCTTTTTATACAATTTTCCATCACCCAATCTCACAGTGGCTGCTGTATGCCTTCAATACCTTCACGAACTCCTTCTTTGAGGTCTTGAATCGACGTTGGCCTATTGGCGTAGACCTTATCTTGCACATGAATACAAAGGAAGAAGTCGCACGGTGTTGAATCACAAGATTTTGGTGCCCAATTGCCAGGATGCTTATTGATGTATAGCCATCGAGATGGAAATAAGTCTCATCAGTTAAGCTGATTTTCGATGAAATTTTTAAAGTGAATTTTAATAATTTCAAGGCGTTATTGTATTGGGTGTATCGTTCCATCTTTTGCAGTTTTTACTTGTCAATTGTCAAAAAATTACAGCTTCAAAAGTACAATACCACCTACCAAGCAAGCTATTCAAAAAAAACACCTCTTATTGGAAACCCTTAACTTTCACATATTAAGTAAGTGGGAAGTGAGCCTGGGATTATTCCTGGAATAAAAGTGTTGGCAATAATATTGGGCTATAAACTACAGCCGTGCCAAATTTTATGTCAATCAAACGATTTAAAAGTAAGTTCAAAATTTTTGAATAAATCAGTTACGAACCACTTTCCACAAAATCTTTCTTTATCGGTTGTATGGCGTATGCAGAACACACCCTTCTGGTTTCAAATCGCTATGGACAATAGTTCAGGCTACGGTTCGATCAGATTACAAAGTTTTATTAAGTTTGTTTATTGAGCTGCTCTAGGTTATGCCAAGTTAATCTAGCCCAAAGAATTGTGTTTCATGAAAACTTTTAGGCTCTTATTTTCTCCACTTTTTTCATAAGCAATAGAGCAATTCAGATGACGATTTTCTGTTCTGATTTTTTTTGGTAGAGTAACTTGGAGCAAGCAATAAGTTTTGTTTTGATAGACGCGGTTAGAACATGAGCTACTCTGCTCTATTTTCAGTCTTAATAAACAGATCTATTATTATGTATTGAGAAATGAAATACAGAAAGGAGTGGAGCAAAAACGAAAACTTTAGGAAATAAGCCTGCCAAATACAATACAAAAACAAGACAATTCGCATTGCATAAGCTCATGTATATACCTTACCCTAAGTTAAAATGGAGTGCCGGCCGCGGTAGCCGAGTGTTTAGCCTTGCCTACTATCATTCGGAAGGCTCGGGCGCAAATCTTGGTGCGACTAACATCCAAAAGATATAAAAAATTTATTTAAATAAAAAAATTAAATTAAATATTCTATTTGCGGTCGCCCCTCGGCAGGGAATATCCACTCCTCCGAATGTATTTCGGACTTAAAATAAAGGTTCTTCGTAAAAAAAGCATCAGCCGTTCGGAGACGGCTCAGTATAAACTGTAGGTCCCTCCAATTGTTTGAAAAACATCAAGATGCAAAACCACAAATTTGACTAGTAACTCGACTGAAAATCGATTCAGCGGTTAAGAAGCGCCAATTATATTATATTTATATAAAGTGGAGAAATCACAGCTAAAATAATCTCTCTAATCTTGATGCCAGCTCCCATTCAATCTCATTGAGTGAGTGAGACGTAGAATTTATGACGGCAATAGAGAACTTGTCGAAACAAAGTAATTCCATAAAACCGGTTTGGCATCCTCAATGCGCTCTCAGCGCAAATTTCGTCAGTAGAGGTGAGACAAGCCTCTATGTTTTACTATTTGACTGCAATAGGAAAATGGTCACTGCCGAATGTTAGTATGTTGAAAAGAGCGTGATTTTCGAGATCTTGAAACTTGTTGTTTCCAAATTTCAGTCTGGATCAGAATATATAAAGGGTGTCTTTTCAGCTTATGGCTTTCAACGGGACAACAGCTATCAAAAAGGCCAACGGCAGCTGGTACATGATTTATACTCAATTTGGTTTGCCATTTGAAATCGTGAAAATTTATTACCAAAATAATGATTCGGTTAGCGCGATGCATCGAGTGTTGCATCCAATATTCGTTCCAAATAATCGCATAGCAGAGTCGGTAATTCCAGCTACCAATAATCGGATTCGCACAACGTTCACTCTAGTGGATAATGCACATCAACAGAGAAGATTTAGAGGAAGGATTTTGTTTTGCGAGCTTACAAAATCCAACATGATGTGAACGAGCTTTAGATCCAACAAGGTCACGCTACATGCCATACAACCAACATAGTAATCAATTTAATGAAGGAAACTTTTGGTGAGCGCGTTGTGCCTGATTTCTGACATTTAAGCCCAGCTATGGCGGTCACTTACCCGAAATCATTTTTAATAGTAATGGCAAACTCCAAGCTTTATATAATAAAAACAATAAATTATAAGCGTTTTATTTCTTTTTGGAAACCACATGTCTAAAGAAAACGCTCTCAGTTCGTGAAATATGAAATGTAATATGATCTTTGGTCCGAAGTAGCAGAAGCAGAGAGACACTTGCCAAAAAATGTTTAAAGATCGGATCAGTTCGACGAGCTATGGTAATTTAGTCATGTCTGTCTGTCCGTCTATTTGAATGCAAACTAGCTCCTCAGTTCTTGAGATGTTTTAACAACTTGGTATGTAGATAAAAAGGAAAAAAAGCCTCCAAAAAAATAACCTTTTGATGACAACCCCCGCAAATATTTAACTACATTGAAATTTCCGATCCCTTAATTGGCAAGGTGGAACTACCCAGCTGGTTGGTGTTCTAGTAAGATTAAAAGCTGTTATCACTGTCATCAAAGAAGTGAGATGAACGGAACAAGGACAGAAGATCTTGATTTGAGCTCACGCTTCGTCGAAAGCGTCTATAAGCGTTACCCCAGCCACGATGTGAAAATTGTACTCGGCAACTTTAATTCCAGGGTAGACAACGAATATTTTTTTTGGTACAACAGTCGGAAAATTCAACGTCCATGACGAAACATTTCCAGGATATGGTTGATAGTACCAGATTTCTGCACCAGAAAATCTTTCAAACTACGTGGCTGTCGTCGGATAGAACATCCCGCAATCAAATCGATAATGTTGTGATTGACGGAAGACATGTATCCACCAGTGTTTTATAAGTGCATATGTTCCGAAGACCTAACATCGGCGATCCCACTGTCAATGTCAACTACCGTAGGTATAGCCTCTTAAATATCGTTGTCTCTACGCCACAATGTCCGAATTTGATGTTTCTGCATAACTTAAATGGCTGTGTAAACTAACGGTGGATAACACCAGCAGATTAGGAAGGACCTCTCCGAACGTTCTTCAACGCGCAATTATTCTTGCCAACAGGTGCTACTTTGAACTGAATAAGCAACGAACCAAAACTAAGCTCTACCAGTCACTCATCATTATCGTGCTATTATATGGTGCAAAAGCCTTGACGATGTCGACATCCGTTGTGTCGACACTGGCAGTTTTACAGTAAAAAGTTTATGCATTGGCTACAATGAAGTCCGCAGACGATGGAACGATGAGCTGTAAGAGTTCAGAGACAATTACCACCCTGCCGTCGGGGGAAGTAGAAGGAATGAATACCTCAACTCTGTTAGAAAGATCAGGTGGAGAGCGACCTGCTTTCTCTTGATAATTCCAACAGCGAAGAGAAAGAACAACTGGCTCCGAGAACCTTCGATATCGGAGGACAATATGATAAAGGCGCGGTTGCCGAGTGGTTAGCAGGAGGGCCAGGGTTCAAATCCTGGTGTCACTCTAATATCCAAAAAAGTTATAGAAAATTTATTTGAAAAAAAAATTAATTTAAATATTCTAATTGCGGTCACCCCTCGGCGGGGAATTTAAATTTTCTAATTGCGGTGACCTCGGAGGCGGCTTAGTATAAACTGTAGGTCGCCGAAATTTCAAAAATTTTTCGTATCTAAAATTTAATATTTTATGAAAGTATCTTTGTAATTAATTATTGTTTATTTTATTTTAAATCTAATACACATTACATTACTTTATTCCTTTTCAAAGGTATTGTCAAAATTATTACAATTGAAGCTGAAACTGGTGTCTATCTTAAGGCGCATGTAAATTGTATGCATAGAAATTAAGCTTGCATAATTACTATCTATTACTCCTTGCGATTTAAAATACTTTATAAGCTTTTAAAATTTTAAATTCAATTTAACACCATCAAAATTTATTTAAAAAAAAAACGCCACAGTTTCCTAACAAAATACATTTAATATTTATGCGGAAATGTGCTAATAATAAACTCCCACGTTACCGACGCCGCACAAATAACAAAGTGGCTAACAAATATACAAATCCATTATTAATGGCTATGGGGGAATGGTCAAGGTGCAGCTGCATTCAGTGGGTGGCTTGTCGTTGCTTCCTCGGCTATACACACGGTGAGTTGTCATGGTGTGCACAAAAAGCTTTTGCTTGACGCCAACATTTAACTCTCCAAAAGAAGCTATGTTTATACACCGTTATTTTTTTTTTAGCTTCTTTCCATACTATCAACACAAAATAGTTTTTATTTTCAGCAAAGAAATATTGCGGGTGTTTATATGTATGTGCACTAAAAAATGTTCCCAGTAAACACGAGAAAATGGAAACAAATCATTTAAAAATAAGAAATAAATCGTACGACGATTCTTGATGTTGGTTGCTGTGAATATATATTTTGAGAAATTTGCAGTTCAAGATTCGTCTTTGAAAATTTTTGATGATAAATTATAAAACAACCAACTTGATTTAATAGAAGTAAATTGATTTCAGACCAACAGTCGAGTTTATAATTATATTTATATGAAAAGCAATCTCCTAATTGCGATCCCTCACTATTTCTGCCTTGAAATAAAAAGTTTCTCACAAAAGTCCATCAGCCATTTGGAAAAGTCTTTGTTGGATGGTCGGGTTAATAAGTACCTGATAAGCAGTGGACCTTATGCCATTGATTAAGCTCATTGTACTCCCCTATATATCCCAACTTTGCGTTAACAAACAGTTCTTGTGATTTAATAAACTGCCTTAATGTCTTCCACCCAATCCTTTTCATGATAAGGCTGGAGCTTAGTGGAGCGGGAAAGATATGTGGCTTTAATCGGCTGAATCGGTTTTGCGCATGCTCTATGTGCGTGTAGTTTTTGATGATTATACCTCAGCGGTAGATTCCTATAAACACATCTTTAAGAATACTAAGTTCTTTTAACTTATTGCTGGTAAAAGTTTGGTTTACCCACCATCCGCATTGTCCCACAGAACCTCAATGATACGCCCCATGGTGAAAGTACATCAGTACCTTACATGCTTCTCTGGGTTTCACTGCTTTTGACAGCATTTGAAGACACTTAAAAGTGTGAGACTGTCCAAAACGACAGCTTGCTTGTGGTAATAGCTCGTCTGCCTTTTCGTTACGTCCTACATTTATGTATCCTGAGACACACGTGGCGTTCACTATACTTTTCCGTGAAAGTCTATTAAATTCTTGTTTATATGTTGTCACACATGTAGACTTTCTGTTGATACGTTTAATTTCCTTCGTAGTCGCTTGACTCTCAATAAGAGACCTATTGAACAGGTTGCCTATTTTGCACCTTTAGTATTGCCCACAATCTCTGTTTCACAGACTAAGTTTTAATCATTGAGCTTGAAGCTACCTTCTTTGTTGGGACAACCGGTTCTTATGTGTCCTACGCATTTAGATCCATCAGCATAGATAAAAATCCACTTCACAATTAGTTATAGTCTTGTCTTTCATACAAATTTCTCTGAAAGGTGAAGAGCAGGTGGCATACACACTCCGTTTTTAATTGTCGTTCATTCCTAACTTCTGTTATAACCATTGAGATTGTAGGTCGCGCTAAGGAGATATTTGAGTCATCGCTCACCGGCCGTTGATGGGAGCCTTCTGCCAAAAGAGCCGCTGCATGTTCGAGCACAGGTGAAAAAGACAGCCTATCTAACTTGTCTTCAGTGACATCCTGAACTTTTACAAAGGATATTGGTCTGTGAATCTACATACAAACATATTTGATATTACTAAATTCGACTTTGGCAGCGCCAGCGTATTGCTCTTATCTTTTCAAATTTTGCGCTTCAGTTTTTTGCTACTTCCTCCTTTATCATCAAAAATGATAACACGGCTGAAGTCATTATATTTTTAACTGATAATCACAAATATGTTAAATGAAGTACAAAATTTAAATTAAATTGCTGAGTTTTTTGCACAAGTGTGATGACAGCTGATTCGAAAATCGGTTTTACTTTCTTCGAAAAATGCAAAATCAAGTCGATTTCATAACACCATTTCAAACAGATATTAATTTTCAATTCCGTTAAATAAGCAATTCTGTGTCGGTTTTCGCTGTTAAAAACAAGAGTCTATTATTATCTCTTACTAATGATTATTCATACTGATTAAAATTAAAACATTTTTTTTTTATTAATATTTAAGGATTTTTTCATGCAAAATTTCGTGCTTATTTAGATGCTGCTAAGAGAATTTGATTTGTGAAGACTATTTAAGCACAAATGCACCTCCAAATTCACCATAGTTGCACAGAATGGCTTGTTGGGTCTAATTAATATGTGTGTGTGTGTATATTGGTGTTGCCTTGCAACTTGTAGAAAGTGCTCAAGGTCCAGCCAATGTCTTTTGTATAAATACATTTACAAATTTACTTATAGTTGTTGGTGTCTTTTGGAGGTACTTTCACATCCGTTTATATGTACGTTGTGTTAATAAGCATTGGTCATAAGAAGACGTAAATATACATACATATGTATTTGTGTATGTACATATGTATGTATGTAGATACGCATCTAAGTTTGGTGTTGGCATCATAAAATGCATTACTTGCATCGTATTGCATTACAATTTTTTCAAGGGCTTTCACTTTGTGTGTCTTTGTATATGCGTGTGCGTTTGCAATCGCCTCGCATGTCACACATAGATGTGGTTAAATTATTAAATGCCAATTCAAGCAAATGAATTCTCAGCTTTCGTACACACATACACACACACCCACCCGAAGCTCACGCTACACACAAATCATAAGCATGCAACGATGTACATACATACATACAGTCACATTTGCACAGGTAATGTCTGCGTTTCGAACGCAAGAAACGCAGGAAACTGGCTGGCAGCAGCACTTTATGCTAAGATGGCTGAAAGGAAATGAAGCAACCAACAGCGGCACTTAAGCTTACATTCTATCCCAAGGCAGTCAGCCAGTTAGCCAACCAGTGAGACAGCGAGCAATTGAGCCAAGTTAGACGAATTACACTTATACATATATACATATTTATGTACATAGGTGCCACGCAGCGTTAGGGTTCGGTGGCGCTCGCAATATTTCTGTGCATGCAGATATTTGTCCATACATACATATATACATACATAAGCATGTATGTGTGCGCGTCGAAGGGAAAAAAATCCTTAAAGCTCATTGCGGGATGATGCGAGTGTGTATACAAATTAAGGGATGTTATTAGTATGTGTATACACATGTACTAGATATTTAATTTCGTGCAATACGCTAGCAGGAAATTGAAAAAATTACCATGTAAAATGATTTTTCACTTCCTAATTTTCAACTTTCGATTTGCCAAAATATTACTGGCGGACACATTAATACATATTTGTAACGCGTAACGAAAAGGTACATATACATAAGTACATATGTACACAAATCTTGACATTGCCATAAATTGATTGACTGATTTCTTTTTGGTTTTTTTTTTCCAGCACACGCCACAAAATTTTGAATGTTGAAAATTTCTCTTTCACACGAAAATCACGGTATTAAAAAATCGTAGCATATTTTTAGGCATTATTTAAGCACATTATTAAAGCTTTAATACCTTTTTTATAATTTTCACTATTTTTTCTGCCTTTTTTTTATTCTTATTTCTTTTGGTTCACAAATATTTGTTGTAATACATTTCGTTGTCCGAGTTATCCGAGTCAGGTGTTTATCCTTAACTATTCCAAACGAAAGACTGAATCTGGAATTTGACAGGAACTTGCCAACTTGCTGAGAAAGCAAGATGGATTACTTAATAAGAACACGTTTGTTGTTGTTGCTAAAAGAAAAGCTCACTGGGCCCCGAGTGAGAGCAGAAAGCAATTGAAAGCTCCAAGGGAACAAGTAAACACAGCGCAACGAGCGCATACAAACATTTGGTTATTTGTTTTTACTGCTTTCTTCGCTAGGCGGTAAGCTGGTTGACTTCGAAAAGGCGCGCATACCGATTCGTATATGTAAACAAACAAATTGGTTGTTGGTGATAGCAAAATATTATGATAAGGGAGAGTATTTGCCGTTTGCTCATGACGTGCTCTCCATATTAAAATCACGCGCTTTATCCACTCACGAGCGTATTGGTATGGTATTTGAGCGCAAGCAGCGCGCAGAGAGAGTTTAAATATGAATATCGGATATGAATGAAATGTCCTTGGGGGACTAACTTGTGTAGAAAATAGAGAATAGCACAGAAACAAAGAAGCAAAGAAACAATAACAATAACAGTAACAATAAATAATAATAATCTGATTAAAGTCGCTTAGACATGCAGCCGTGTGTCCAGAGTGCATTCATTGCCTGTCATATTTCTGTCAGTAGCAGTCCCAGTGCTTTTAACAATCTCACAAAAAGCGCATTAATGATGAATGATTTTAATTAACCGTCGCTTTTAAGCTGCCATTCTTGGCATAACAGGAAATAGTAAATAAAAAAAGTCATCGTTTTTGTTTCGAGCACAACAATGAAAAGGTTTGAATTTATTACTCTATCTCTCTCTCTCTCTATGTTTCCCTGTTCAGACAGCTGAAGTCCGTAAAGCATATATTTTGGGTTGGAAATTAAACCTCAATACTTACCACAGCAATCCTGCGCCAATCGTCGTGGATTGAGCCTCCTCAATATCACATAAAAGTTCGTATCGAGCCCTTTGTTTCAAAGACTACATTCCACCGTCAACAAATTGTTTGTACCTTATCAGCGTGGCTATTTACAGATATACACGATACGCCAAATCATGGAAAAGACCCGTGAAAAGAGGAACAACACTCAGCACCTCTTCGTAGATTTTAAATGAGGCTACCGAATGCAGACATGCACTCGAAAAAGTTATACGGCTATGTTAGACAACACCAAAAACTCTCCGTCATTATCCGGAAGGACCTCTCCGAGCCGTTCGATATCAAAGAAGGTTTCAGGCGAAGTGATTTTTTAATGTGTGAATCATCTGTAAGAATGTATCGCTGCTGGTGAATGCCGATGTTGTTGACATTATTGGCTTCAATAAACGCACCGTGAGCTCTGCTTTCTCTAGACTGGATAAGAATATGATGGATACGGGTCTGGCAGTGAACGAGGGTAAGACGAAATATCTCATATCAGCAAACAAACAGTCGTCATATTCACGACTCGGTTCCCACGTCACTCTTGACAGTCATAACTTCGAAGTCGTAGATAATTTCATTTATCTAGGGTCCATCCTTAACACCAATAGCAAAGTCAGTCTGGAAGTTCAACGCAGAATCACTCTTGCAAGGAATTGAAAAGTAAAGCCCTCTCTTGACGAACAAAGACCAACTCGTTCCCGTCCAGCTATATGGTGCAGAAGCATGGACGATCAGTCGGCGTTAGGACTTTTCGAGAGAGAACAGCTATGCTGGCTAGGTCATGTTGTCCGGAGGAAGAGGAAGAGAATTTGGTATTTCCAATTGGCGACAAACAGCGAAAAGAAATGAATGGAGTAATGTTGTTAACTCGGCTATAATCGAGTAAGTGGTGTCTACGCCAGTAAAGAAGAAGAATGAGATATCCGAAAGAGCTGAATGCCGGATCAGAGTGAGATGGAACGCATTAGCGACATACAAAACCACCACGTCTACGTAAAGACTGCAGGATAGTTGTTGGCCTAAAGAAGTGCCACAACCTATTGGCATCCCACGTACGCAGAATGGTCAATAGCAGCAGTGACAAATGTAATATATGCAGGAAGGAAGGCATGAATTAGAACACCCTCTCTATTTCTGTGCGACCTTAGCCAGAACTCCTCTCAGATATCGAAGAGCTTCGCAGTTCAAGGGACTACAGGAAGCTTCAAAATTGGATGCTATAATGCAAATATATATAAGCAAAATATGGACCGACGTGTTTATGTAAGTCACATCAGCCGGCCAGTGTATCCTAACCTAACCTATCATTCAGATCAGCTGTTTCTTGTTATTCGTTGCCACTAAAGTAAATAATTCAAATCGCCATCCAACAAGTTCTATACTCCATATCGAATTCTGGGAAATCATTATAATGACACGAGACCTCACTTCTTTGCTCTCAGCATTTTCCGAAAAAGCCTACAAATTGAATAACACAAACTAAAATGCAAAATTGATAGTCTTTATAATATTGTCTGATTATTTATTTGTATTACTCCATTAGACTTTTTCTTACTGTTGCTGTTGTTGCTGTTGTTGCTTTGTTAAAACATTTTTGCAATTGTCGTAATAAACGCTCTTGCCATTTTTGAATAGGTTTGTAGGTATGTATGTATTGTATGTTGTATTGCTAAATACTAATTTAATTCATTTATATTTTTTAGTATTAATATTGTATGTAGGTATGTATGCAAACTTGTTAGTATCAATGTTTTCATTACAACATAGTTTACTATATTTTTGCATAGACTTTTTATTTAGTATTTTGTTTTTTTTTTTTTTCATTTATATAATTCATTATTAATTTTCATATATTAATATACTTTACTTTAACCTGTTTATCTTTTACACATTAAAACTAAATATTATTAGGTGTGAATTAATACAAAAACAAAACAAACAGAAAATACAAATACGAAATTAAAAGTGAACTCATACAATTGTGTATTTTCAACGCGCGTAAATTATTAAGATAACTTTAATTTCAACTATATATATTTATTTATTATTTATATGTTAGAAAACCGAAATGTGTTTGGGATCTCGTGGAAAGTACGCCAAAAAACATACGCGTACAACGTACAGCGTATGGTTACTTTGTGTGGCAAACAAAACGGCGTTATATGACTTGTTTTCGCTCAAACACTATGCAAATAAAACATTTCGTTTTATTTGTTGTTTGTTTGTAAGAATTTTATATTTAATATATATATATATACATAAATATATATGTGTATATGTATTTGCAGCATTTTACATTCACACTAGTAATTAATTATAATGTACCTTCGTATGCAATAGTTGATTTCATCAAAATTATCTACAATTAATTAATCATCAAACGAAAACCTAACAGCTCGTCGGCGCACATTTTGCGTACGGCAACGATTTATTTGGAATCCAATAAATATTACACTATCATAACAAACAATATTGCGGGTACACTGTTGCTTTCTTTCTCTTTGTTTGTTTAGTTCTTTTTTTATGTTTTGTTAAATTTCCTTTAAATATATTTAAATTTATTTAGGTATGGATTTAATTCTTTTCATTCAAAGAGATATCGATTTATTGCGCATTTTTTGACGCAATTTCTTATTTATTTGCTACTACTGTATACATATTTATATGCACATGTTCCAATCTCCGAAAATATGGTATTCTTTGTTTTATAAATATCATAACTGCTAGATATCTATTGGTTGTTGTTATTATTTTTATTTAAAAATCAGTCCATGTACCATTGTGTTCGTTTACTTCTTATTTCTGCAAAGCGAAATTTGTTGGGATTTAGTTAAAAAGTTTTGAATGATATGGTAAAGCATTAGCTGACCTTATAGCCCTGTCCATTATATTATTAATACGCGTCTCTGAGTAGCCTGGAACTAATTTGTGAATTATCTCTTTGAGGAACAAATCACTCACACCTGGACTGCTACGTTCCGCCAATTCAAGTACGGACTTCAAATCCCCAATGTCTGTGACATTTGAATTTTTGCTCGAATTGGCATACTTTCGTTGAATCTACAAGTTATTAAAATTGTAATAAAATATATTAGTACTTTTTCATTGATTTTTCATGTGCATACTAACGTCTGTAAGAACGGGGAAGAGGAAATTATTCAGGCATGCGCTATTTGTTTGCATTACACGATTGCCACCCAGCTTATGATTTGAATTACTGGACGACACAGCTGCAGCTGAGGCGGACGGTGATGCCGACACCTCCAACGCAGCGCCATACGACGACCGATCACCATGCGTACTGTTTGACAATACTGCATTGCCATTGTAATTGCCGCCACTCGAACTTGAACTAAGCATTGGCGTTGAATTCGATGACACACCCGATGCATGCATACTACGACGTTGCACACGCGACTCCTCTTCACGTAATTGATCTTCACTTTTGGCATGCTCGATGAGCTACAAATATTTTAATTAGACATATTTATTTGCTTTATAATTAAATATTCTAGATATTTTCAACTAACCGATGAACGCCGCTGTTCGTGCTCCTCATCTAGTGAAGCGGAACGACTTTGCCTCAAATTCGATTTCGATTCCTGGTAGACCGTATTGCTGCTGCTGCTGTTACTGATCTTCTTCATGCCACCATCCGCGTTTGGTGAATTGCTACCACTCGAAGAGGATAACAGCTCTTGACTGCCTGATGATTGCTTATGTGTTGGACTGAGCGGTTGTTGTTGATGTGCTATATTTGAGCTGGACGAACGTAAAACGCCAGCCGATGCGGCTGTTTGTTTGTAATGATTTAAATTGTTATCACGTTGCGTAGCTGCGGACGACGATGATGATGATGATGATGTACCTGACAATACGGATGGCATACCGGGCGGACTGCCCGCCATATTGTCGTGCAGTTGCTGCTGCTGTGATGTGGATGTGGCTGACAGCGCTACCGCTGTTGCGCCACTGTTTGGATAGTGTTTATTGGCCGCATTAATAGCTATCGGCGTTGATCCACTGTTTTGTGATAATTTCTGTGTTAATTTCATGTGTTCCATATCCTTAAAACTGCTATTAGCAATCGGTTCAGCGCGAAGCGCATTATTAATGCTCAGACCTTTAACGGTCATAATCCACGGTTCATCATTATTGCCACCCGGCTTCGATTCGTCACTGTGAAATAAAGATGTTTATTTTAGAAAAAAAAGAACATTTTAAGCTATAAATTATGCAGTAATATTTACGAATCTGAATTCTCCGATTCTGTTTCACTTTCATCGCCCTTCTGAAGTTTCCACTTCTTGTAACGGTCAATTAAATCAATAAGGTACGAGTTCTTCTTGGCTTTCTTGATAAAAGGATATTTCAATAGTTCCTTGGCTGTCGGTCTCTACATAAAAAAAAAATATCATTAATTATAATGCATTGAAAGCATGCTTTTAACACTCACATTTTCTGGATCCTTATTAAGGCACGCTTCCACGAAATCTTTAAAAGATTTCGTATAATTTCCGGTTAATTGTGGCGGATTATTTTTCGGGATCAAAAATAATACTCTCATTGGATGCAACTCCGAATTGGGTGGCTCACCTTTAGCCAATTCAATTGCTGTAATACCCAGTGACCAAATGTCCGCCTTGGAATCGTACATTGATTGTTTTATCACCTCGGGTGCCATCCAAAATGGCGTACCAACGAATGTATTACGTTTCGACGTTGTATTCGTTAACTGTCCGGCAACACCGAAATCAGCCAACTTAACATCACCCATTTCGCTTAACAATACATTGGCCGCTTTAATGTCTCGATGTAATTTGCGTTCCGAATGCAGATAGTCCAGACCCTTTAATACTTCTCGCAATATAATTGCTATATGCATTTCCTCGAAAGAACCAGCTTTCATTAGATCCAGCGCCGAACCGCCACCTAGATACTCCATTATTATCCATAGCTTTGTACCCTTTAATGGAATGGAATTTTTATTTAGAAAATGAGCAAAAATGTGCGAAGAAACTAAATAGAATAGAAAAATGTGAGACAGATCAAACTCAAAAACTGAAGGGTTTAGACCTCTTCGAGTTACAATTTTAAATATTTGCCCGCGGTAAGCATCTCTGTCGAAAAGGAATAGACTTCCGCAAAGGTATTTATACCGAAATGAATTGGATTTTTATTCTGCCAGGGACTGTTACTCTCGCAACATTCTCCAAAAACTACTAAAAGAACAACAACAGGAGAGATTTTTTTTTGTGTTCAGTCATGCCGCTTCTCGCATGGATTCATGGCAGTAATTTTTATAATTCCAACCATGGGTAGGATCTTTGCTTTTTTTGCTTTTTGAAAATGGGTATATATGAAAATATTTAATTCGTTGAAAGTATAGGCTTCCAAGATGGTTCGACACTTATAAGATTTAGTGGCCCTATAAAAATGAGCAAAATAGAGTTATCATTGGAGATTCTTAATATAGAAAAGGGTTGGTTGTCCTTCGATGATTGGAATATTGTAGTACATAAAGATTTTTTTAATTCCGTGCAGGCGGTCATCAGAATGAAACTCATTCTTGCTACTTTTTTGTAGAAGTCCCACAGTGTGTTAAACTAGACATAAGCCTTCTAAAACGTGAGATCCACCTGGTGCACTCCCAACGAAATACTATTATAATGTAAAAATTCTCCACCTTCCCGCATCAAACTTTGTATATACAAGCAAGGGCTTTTCGGTTCGCGGAATGATAGGACTATAACTTAATAAAGTGCGTTTATAAAGTTCCTCATCAAGCAATGAAAATCAGTTGTCACCATAATGAATGAGATGTCATTGGTTTACGGTTACTCTTGCCCGAGGAAAGCCATGATCTAGAAGTGGCACAGTTTATTTAAACAAGGAAAGAAATCTCTTGAAGAAGACGCGATGCCGAGCAGTAGCATCGTTATGGCCACGCCATAGCTTGTACAATACTAAAAATTTAACAAATTTTCTGGACGATGCTCGACCAAAGAAGAAAAAACTCGCAGAAATGGTTGGAGTATCAATTTTTAAAATTCTGCACAATCAGATTGACATGACTAAGGTCAGTGCAAGATGGATACCAAGAATACTTAAACCTCCGTAGAAACAATATGTGCATTGCTTTGACTGCCATTAATAAGGTGGGCATCGATATTTGGAATCACCCACCCTACAGCGCACACCTGGCCCGAATGATGATTACTTATTTCCAAAAATGAAAAAAAAGGTGAAGAGTAAAAAAAAATATATATATCACCTATGATGAAGTCAATCAAGTTTTTGCGTATTTTGACGTTAAAAAGAAAACGTTTTTTAAGAGGATATAAATAAATTAATTGAAAGATTTGAAATGTGTATCCGTTTTGCTAGTGAAAACATTGAAGTGGAAAAATTATTGGGTTTTTCTTTTAATATATTCCGACTGTTTGTCCCCCATTCCCTGAACATAAAAACGCTCCTTCCTACAATATGCATACATATATACAAACTCAAGCAATTCTCACCTTAAGATACGATCCGTAATATTTCGTAACAAACGGTGAGTCACATTGTGACAGTACCATGATTTCCTGTTGTATATCTTCGATCTCATCTTCTGCCTCTTCCAAATCAATTATTTTTATAGCCACGACCTGGAGGGAAAAAGAAAGGAAAATCAATTATTATTTAATAAAAGAAAACAATTCAAAGTTACAAACCTGTTGCGAACGATTGTCGATGCCTTTAAAAACCTCACCAAAGGAACCTTTCCCGATTCTTTCTTGTTTAGTGAAAATAAGCTCAGGATCGACTTTCTGCAAACAAAAAAAAAAGAGGAAAATGATGATAAGAAATTTAATAATAATAATTAAAAAAATGAATGTTCATTACATTTTCATAGAGCCTCAGATAACAAAACACATTGTAGCTGATTACCTAGTAAACATATCTTTCCTATTTATACATATGTGTACGTACATATGTAAATATGTATATACATACATACATAGGTAGATATGTAAACATGCACAAAGGTATTTATTAGCTTTTTTGCTTATGTCACTGGTATTTTATCTCAAGTAAAGCAAGCCGATAAATGACTTGAGCTCTTTGGTAGCCACAAACAGACAGATTTACCAGTAAAGTAATATTGCTAAACAACAATGTTATCATAGTAGACGGCGAGTTAAAGGGTACTTAGTGGGAGGGAATATGTACGGCTTTGGTCTTACTTGCTTGCTTGCTTAGAGAAAGAATTCTCTTAAGAAAAAAATAAAAATAATCAGAATATTTTTATTGTTGAACTAAACTTTTAAAATTGTTTAAGCGAAGGATATATTATTGCAATAGTATGCTTAGAAATTTATAGGTATATTTGAAAACGCTGAAGCGATTTTCGGCCGAGCTTCTCCTGCAATTGATGGTTTTGCGTCTTGATGTTTCCAACAAATGGAAAGGACCTGCAGTTTATTCCAAATTTCATGCAGAACGGCCAATGGATTTTGATGAGGAGCTTTTTATTTCATTATATCATGTCAGAAATACATTCCGAGGGCTTGACATTCCCTGTGAAGGAGCGAACGGAATCAGAGAAATTCATTTTCTATAATTTTAAATTTGCATGCATATGAATGAACTGAATAAAAGTGTGTTAGGGAAAGTAATGAGTAGTTTACAATGAAATATATATCAGTTGTACCACAATTCTTATTGACTTATTTTATATACATATACATATGTATGAATATGTAGATATCTATAATTTTATAAGTACCAACAAATATTTGTACGTATGTATGTATATTGCAATATGCTAGATAAATATTAGACAACACCTTTATTAATAGGTTTTTACGCGATTTGTAAGCAAATATTTTTGGGGTGAGCTACGCGCTTTTATTATTATGGGGGCGGTTGACAACTAACTAACTGACGCTCTATCTAACTGGAAATATTAATTAAATAAGTACATACAAATGCATGTATTTAATGTGTTTTTTTTCTCTTTTTTCTTTTATATGCCACAATTAGTGATCGCACTTATATTATGATATTATATTTTTTTTATTTTTGCCCCTTTCGATCATAGTTTTAAATTACCTAAACCACTAAAAACAAGTGATCATTATGCTAGGAAGGCAAACAAACATACAAGTAAATAAATAATAAAAAATAGATGGTTATTAATTAAAAGATATTTTGGTCTTCTTAAATGCTTAAACGAATTTAAGTTGTATCGTATGTTTATGGAAATTTTTAAGTTAAATTCGTAATGCAAGAAGAATGTGCGTATATATACATATGTATATATACATATATATACATGCATACATGTTGGGAGTATTTATGGTTAAGCCAACCAACATTAAACAATGACAATGACAGTGATTTGTATTGTTGCTGGCATTGGTAATGAATGCTCGATGGTAATGGCGGCGGTGGCAGCGTTGATGACCGCCGCTTGCAATTCATAATTTCTTTCCAAAGCACGTACGCACGCACGACGCTTTGTCGCTATTATATGCTTTAGTATTTACATACGAGTTTATGTATACAATTTACACATATATATATAAGTGTCTCTTTGTATTAATTTTACATTGTTAATGAAAAGAAGTGAATACTTTTCGACCATCTTTGCTTGATGCCAACAATACAAAGCCAATTAGTGATCCTCATCCTTTGTCCTTAATAACAAAATAATCCATAAAATTAATAATTGATAAGTTTTTGGGTGAAATTCCTTTAATATCTTTCATGAACATGAAATGTATGTAAGCGCCAGAAGGAGTATAGAGAGACTCACCAAAACAAGAGCTAAGTTTAGCATTTTCTGACTGTCCGTCTGTTTGTATGCGAACTGGTCCCTCAGTTTTTGAAATATTTCAAACAAATGTGGCAAGCAAATCGGATCACAAAAATATTTAACCTCCATATAACCGATTTGTTCAGTTATGAGAGTTTGGATCAAAAATCGATACAATTCAAATAAATATTGACACCGATAATTCTCAAAGCCGTACGACTATATCACAAAGCCCACATAAAATCGAATTTTAAATATGAGAATTAATATTAAATTCGTTCGAAAAACGCTTCAGCGGTCACAAAGCGCCAGTTATACATACAATATATACAGTTGTGTCTGCATATAGTGAATATCCAATTTTTTACATAGATTATTCTAAATAGTGAACAGTCGAAAACCTCTAAATAGTGAACAAAATATTTTGAAGGAATCAAAAATGAAAGAGGATATTCTCCTAGTATGTATGTACTTGTGTTGTAGATTGTTACAAAACCAGCTGTTTCTTGACCTTAGTGGTTATGTCGGTTCAGAAGTCACTTAATGAATGCAAGCAGCAAACTTCAATTCGCCAATTCTTTCAATAAGCATACATTTAAATTTGTCTACTAATTTATTAACCTCAATACTGTGAACAGGACTTGCAATAATTAGTTCATTATATCCAGACAAGACTGTATATATATGTACATACTAGCAGATCCTGCCACACATTGCTAAGGCTTTTTGTAATTTGTCCAATTTTTATTCTAATTGTTAATGAAAAAAATGATAAAAGTCTTTATTTAAGCATCATTTAATTCAAAATATTAAGTTTTTTTTATTATATGGGTCACTCGGCGCTGTTCAAAGTCTTTCACGAAAATGTCAATATAAATGTGGCCTCGAAGTTAGCCAAACGGATCTATGCTTATTCACACTCAAGTTGAACATTTAAGAATAGCTTGTAACCCACGATCACACAATAATAAAATTGCGAAACGAACATAACAACGCACGATCTTTGCTTATATCTAAAAAGTAATAAATCTTGTTAGTTTGCCGGCGACCCTTTTCCCGTAAAGAAAATATAATTTATATTTCGAACAAATTGAACTTGGTTTCAAGCTGCTCCACCAAGTAGGTAGGTCCCTTGATCACCTCCGAAAGGGAACATTAGTCCTTCTGGTAATCTAAGTAGAAATCCACTTATGTAAATATGTACCGAAATAGAAGGAAATCGAACCATTTCCTGAAAATTTTTTCGGCTAAATCTCTCCAGGAACCATAGAAATTAACTTATAACTTTTCAGTATAATCTGCTGGACAGTTTCGGAGATAACAGAAAACAAACATACCAACAAATATTATATAAAAATTTAATAAATTTTATCCTAGGGTCGAATCGAGCTTTCCGTGAACGTGCAACTCTTCATTACGCCATACGAGAGTGTGTACTTGTTGCCGTAATTCGGTTCGTTAACCAGTATTTCATTAAAAACTGTAATTTGATTACAAAATTGTGCTCGTAATCAAGCAAGCCATAAAAATGTAAGTAATTAATTTTAAAATATTTAAAAAAATATTATTTTAGGACTAATGCAAATAAAATTAACGTGGCACAAAAGGAACTCATCGCTGAATTCATGCGGTCACATCCAAATTTATCAAAGAATCTTTTGCCCAACTGCACACAGGTCAAAGCAACTGTTAATATTTTATGAGAGGAGTTGAAACGGACTTTCAATATTCTTGGCTTGTCAGTTAAGGATATCGAAACGTTGAAGAAAGTATAGAAATATAAATTTTGCTTTATTTCGAAATTTCGTTTGCGCTTTCGTATGGCATCAGCTCAATAATTTTATACGATTTACGCATGACTGCCGATACGTTCACGAAACGCTCGATCCGACCGCTGAAATTGATAGGTTCACGAAAGATATAGGGTTACCCATCTCCCGGTTTTAAAAGTAAATCATTATTGACATCTGTAAAACTTAACTGTAAAGCCAAATATGTTTTGTTTTTAGTTAAAAGTCAGGCATTTGTGAAAATGGATAGCTTAATAACCGCACAATTCGTTGAAATTGTTGAAACCTACACGTATAATACAAAAATGGTGATTCAAACGTGGCTTTAAGAGCGTATTATGGTGCACATAATCGTCCAACTACTACGGCAATTAGTAAATTTTTTAAGATATTTGAAGCGACTAGACTGGTAACAGATATTGTAAGGCCTGTGCATCATCATTTTCCTCGTTCCAACTTAAATAGCGCTATTGTAAGTGAAAGGGTAGCCGAATGTATGTCCTATCCTAAATATGTATATTTCTCGACGTTCTCAAGAGCTGAGACTTTCTAACGGCACATTATGATCTATTGGTACTTGGACTTACACCTGCATCCATATAAAATCCAGCTCACACAACAACTGACACCAGCTGATTATTTATAATGCAGTAGATACGTCGATTGGGTACTTAAACAACAGACGGAGATTTTTCCAACGAAATTTTCTTCACCGACGAGGCACATTTCCCTCCCGGGGTAAACATAAATACAGCCTTGGCCAAAAGTATTAGGCACCACACTAAAATACAAGTATTCTCAAATGTGGCTATCAAAGTTAGCACTTCTTTTTGTAAATATCTTACACTCGCGTATAAGGAAACCTAAAAATTGTCATTTTTAAGAAATTCATAAAATATTTTTTGCATTTAAAATTTTAAAGTGAAAGTGTAAATTACATTTAGTTACCGTTCTTATAAAAACAGTTCATATTTACCGGAATGCCTAAAAAAGTGAAATTAGTTACGATGATAGAGTTATAATTCAAGTTCTAAGTGAAGAAGGTAAGTCTCAGGTTGAGATTGCCAATTTGGTGGGATACTCGCGGTGCGCGGTCCAATATGCTATCAGGCGATTTGTGGAGAAGAAAACCCACAATAATAAATTAAGAAGTGGAAGAAAGCGTCTAACAAGTAAACGAGAAGACCGAATACTTATAGGCGAATCTCTCAAGCATAGCAAAAAATCTTCTTCTGCCCTTGCAGCTGCCCTTTCGGTTGAATTTAGTAAGTCAGTTAGTGCTCGAACAGCTAGAAGAAGACTTCTGGAAGCAGATTTAAAAGGATGTAAAGCCCAAAAGAAGCCGTGGCTTTTAGAAGAGAATAGGAAAAATCGTTGGGAATGGGATCGCCGATGTCAACATTTCACGTAAGAAGATTGATCGAAAGTTTTGTGGTCTAGTGAATCAAAGTTCAAGGTAAGCTTAGTTAAATACAATATACAAATCCTATGAAAACATTATTTTTTCTTTTCTACAGATATTTGGAACACCTGGTGTCTCGCACGTGAGGTGATGGGTTAGGGAAGAATATCATCCAGATTGCGTGGTACCAGCTGTTAAGCATGGAGAAGGTAGCATTATGATCTGGGGCTGCATGGCTGCTGATTGTGTCGGCGAAATGTTCGTGCATGGACAGTCAAAAGTACATAAAAGTAAATATTAGAAGCTGTTCTTCTGCCTTCGATAACACGCATTATCGGCGATACGAATTTAGACGGGGTTCAATTTCAGCAAGACGATGCGTTTGCTTGGAGATAACAACACTGCTTTGTTAGATTGGTCTGCACAGTCTCCAGATCTTAATCCCATTGAGCACATGTGGGCTATTTTAAAACGCAAGAATAAGTATAACATCAAAAACTGCCTTTAATAATGCCTTAATTAACGAGTGGTACGCTATAGGTGCGGACGAATGTGCAAAGCTTGTACGCAGCATGGCTAAGAGAATTGCTGCCGTTATTAAATCGAAGGGTGGACCTACTAAATATTAATGTTATTATCACTAATTCATTGTATTTTCACTGTTTTACCAATAAAACTTTATTACTTCACTTGTTAAAACAAAAAATTCAGTAATTAGTGGGGTGTCTAATACTTTTGGCCTGGGCTGTACGTAAATAAACTAATTTGTCGCTTTTGGGGTAGCGAGAATCCTAAAATAAAGAAATAAGAAAGATCCATTACATAAAAAAAAACATCTACGATAAAGTAAGGTCCAATGACCCCGACAGGCCATCAGCTGCACCAAAAAGGTACATATTAATAATAAATCTTCGGTTTGTGGGAGCCCCGGAAGTTGCGACAGTTTGCTTATCGAGGTGGAAGTGGGCCTCATCAGTCAACATGATTTTTCGATGCCACTTTTATAGTGAATTTAAACCATTTCAATGCATTGTTGAAGCGTGTACCGTTACATTTTTATTACTGGCGTAGTTTTTACTTGTCAAATGCACAAAATTACGGTTTCAAAGGAATAACTCTTATTGAAAAACCCTTTATAAATGCAATCCTCAGCTTTCCAATGTAAAAAAAATAACCACCTGGAGAAAGTATTTAAAAGCTGCAAACTTAAAATAGGAGATAAGGTAGGATTTTTTAAACGGCTTTAGAAATGCATTAAAATAAATGCCAGCAACATAATTAAAAATACTAAAATAGGTCAAAAAAAATAGAAAAGAACTTTGGCATAGCCAATAATCAATGATCTCCAAAAAGCAGGCAGAAACGAAACTTTACGCACGTCAAACGCTACGGAAATGAGTAAAATAAAAAAAAAAACTGCACTTTTACTAACGAAAAACCAATGGCAGCCAGTGAAGTGAACAAAGGTACCACGTTATAATGGTAAATAAGGCTCTATAATGAGCAGGTCATAAATCATTTTTTAATTATGGAAGATTAAATTTTACAATTATTTATCTATTATTTATCCGATTGATTTGGCGTAGAGACCAATGGCAATGCATTAAATGAAAAGAAAAGCAAAAAAAATATATTTATATTATCGCGTATGTTTGAGTCTCAAGTATATACACGTATGTACATACGAGTACATAGAGAAATACAAATATTTATGTGAAAAAATAATTGAATGCCAAAAAGAGAAATAACGCAAATCCATTTATAATACCACCACAGGTATTTTTTTCTTTTTTTTTTTGTTTTTTCTTTTTAATTTTGGTCTTGGCCAAAACAACAACGAAACGGGCAGGCAGTGTAAAGTAATAACTTCCGCAGCAACACACTTATGGGTATGGAAAAATTGTGCCAACAACTACAATTGTTGCTGGGAGCCGTTAGATTTGTTGGCCAGAAAACAGTTTTTGTTTCTGTCTTTTTTTTTTTTTTGATGTGTGCATATTTTTGCACATGCCACCACCACTTAAAGTGGTCAAAACGGCGCATGCAAGCGACCAAAGCGTACGAGCGAGGAAGTGGAAGCGCATACTTGCAATTCGTACGTATGTATTGTATGTATGTATGTATGCACATACGTACGGCCAATGCGCATGAGCAAGTGGCTAACTGCAGCACGTATTGTTGTTGCCGCCTTAAACAGGTGTTCAACATAACACAAGTTTTCGATTTTCCTCACTTTCCGACCACCATCTTTGTAAAATGAAGTGAAATAAGAAGTATTAAAAAAAAAATGGAAATATAAAAACAAATCAATGCTGGAATTAAATTGGTTAGCATCAAGACTTGCTTGCGTACCAGTTCGCTGGGGCTTTGACGTAGATTTGTACGACGTGCTGGCGCTTTTCCGCCGCCAACGCTAGATGCCTGCATTTGCTTAGCATAAAAATGTTGCTGTTGTAGCTGATGTGTTTTGGTGTTGTTGCTGTTGCTGCTACTGCTGCTGTTGTTGTTGTGTTGAAATTGAAGTTGATGATGTTGTTGCTGCCGCATCGCAGCCAGATTTTGTGCGCTCTCACCATAATAAAAACTCTCACTGCGTCCAAGCGCTTTAGCTGCAGCTGTTGCTGCTGCTGCTGGCGTTAGCGGTGTTGGTGGTGTTGGAGAATCCAAGGCGGCGCTATATGGTCGCGGTCGATATTGTTCGTACATGGAGATGGGACGTGGACGTGTTTGTACGGATATGGCACCGCTATGATGATCGGATTTATTATTGTTGTTGTTGTTGCTAATATTACTACTACTATTGCTGCTATTACCATTGACGCCACTATGCCGATAATTCACATGTAAACTTATCTTCGATTCGGCAATAGCATCTTGTAGTATGGCCTGTGAGGAGGAGAAGCGATCGCGTTGCAATTGGGACATCATTTGTTTTGAGGTCACACCGATACCGCCAACAGGTGTTGTTGTGCCATCAATGTAATGTGATTGATGTGCATGCTTTTGCTGCTGCTGTTGCTGTTGTTGTTGTTGTTGTTGTTGTTGATGATGTTTTTGAAACTGGGTAGATGTGCTGCGCTGTATGCCGCCCCCACTAGCATTAGCACCAACACCACCAGCAGCGCCACTCCCTCCATTATTTGTAATATCGATATTAACGTGTGTGCTACGCCACATTCCGGTAATGTTTGATTTGTCGTGTTGTTGCTGTTATTGCTGTTGTTTACGATGTTTTGTTGTTCTACGTGTTTATCTTAGTAGCGCGAATTAAATGTTTACACATACATATATATATTTGTCTATTTGTCTGTTTGTCTACGATGACGACACCGCGCACAAATGTTATTGCTTCTGCTGAATATTTTACACTTTTTTCTTTTGGACAGTTGACGTGCGCACCCGTTACTCAAGTGACAATGGCACATCAATGAAAGCAAAGAATGTTTATTTTTTTATTTCACTTTGTCATTGTTTAATTTATTTTATTTATTTATTGCTTCTTAAAATTGCTGCATTGAAGTGTAAAGAATGTTAAAATAATATTTTGCATTCAATCAAGTTTACTTATGGCATCGCATATATATTTTACACTTTCGTGAGGGATTTAACCGAATACATTAAAAATATTTAATATTTTTTACGCGAATTTTTTTTACATATTTTGTTATATGTTTTATATTTTTATTTTTTTATTTTTATTTTTTTATTTTAATTTTTTTATTTATATTTTTTTATTTTTATTTTTATTTTGTTATTTTTATTTTTATTTTGTTATTTTTATTTTTATTTTGTTATTTTTATTTTTATTTTGTTATTTTTATTTTTATTTTTTTATTTTATTTTAATTTTTTTATTTTACTTTTATTTTTTTTATTTCATTTTAATTTTTTTTATTTTATTTTAATTTTTTTATTTTTTGTAATTATAAATTTTAACCCAATATGTTGGAAATATTTAATGTTTTTACACGATTTTTATTTTTCATAATTTGTTTTATATTTTATATTTAAATTTTCATTTTTATTTTATTTTCATTTTTATTTTATTTTATTTTCTTTTTTTAATTTATATTAATTTTTTTTATTTTCTTTTAATATTTTTAATTTTTTATTTTTGGTAATTATTAACTAATTTTAATTTTTTTATTTTATTTTAATTTTTTTATTTTATTTTANCAAATTTATTTATTCGATTTTTTTACTTTGTCGGCATTCTAAAAAAAAAACTTTCATTTAAGTTTTTGCATTTTATTTCTTTTTTTATTTTTTTTTTATTTTTTTTTTTTTTTTTTTTTTTTATTTTTTTTTTTTTTTTAATTTCTTTAATTTTTTTTTAATTTTTAATATGGTTAATTTTTGAATTTTTTATATTTTGTATATATTTTAATTTTTTTATTTATTATTTTATTTTTTAGCTTTTATTTTATTTTATATTTTAGCCTTCATTTTCTTTTATATTTTATTTCTTTCTAGTTTTAATTTTTTGAATTAATTATAATATTTTTTCACATATTGCCGAAGCGGCTGACGACTGGAGATTAAAGAAGAATCACATACTGCAACAGCTTTGGTCAACAGGAGAAGAATTGTGTTTCATCAGGGCAACGCCAAACCAAACACATCGATAGTAACTCACTAAAAGCTCGGAGAGCCTTTACACATACAGGTTCTTATGCACACATCTTATGGCCTTGCATCACGTGAATACTATCTGCTTCTGTTTATGCGAATTAAGAACTGGTCACAAAAAAACTTGTGAAAACTTATTGCTCCGATTTTTCACCGATAGGGATAAGCGTTTCTATGAGAGAGTCAATGAAATTACATTCAAAATGGGAAAAGACTATTGTACTACACGGTGCATATTTGATGTAAATCGGAAAATTATAATATTAATTTTAGCAACCCCGCCCGACAGCGTCACTACTGTGAAAATTTTAGTGCGAGCTGGGCTGCTTGGTGATAAGTAAAAGGCGGGAGCAGCAAGACCTGGGAAAAGAAGAGATATCTGTCGATTTGATTCTCCTTTGGCAATTAATATCACCGGTTTCAGTTGCATTATCGAACGATAATATAATATAAAAAAAACGTATCCTCCCAACCTACACGATACACACAAAACCGAGGGCGATAGAAGCAGTAGTTGCTCGTTTACGAGCAGGTCAACTATAAGAACAGGCAGCAGAGAGAGCAGCCGAAACCAAACTCGCAGATCGAGCGATAGAAGACTGTTGAGAGAACGTTCTGTCGCTAACGTTGACGTCAGACATAGCGTCATAAAGCCCTCGACCTCCGCTAACTCCGCTAGCTGACTAGTCTGAAGGCGGCGGAGTAAGAATGCATTACAGTCGGAAGCAAAGGCAGATCTATCTTGGAGAGTTACAACCCGAGTTGAATTGCATAATATCTGCTTTTATCCCATTTGTCTTATAGTATTTCTAAAGACATTAGGTCTATAAGAAGAACCGATCTTGGGCCGCAGTGCATATCTTCTACACAAGCTAATCTAATGTAAAAGGGTTCGCTTAGGGATGCTTTATTTTGGCTTAAACATTTTTAATTATTTTCAAATGTTATTTATATGTATATATTTTATTTTATTAACAATTTTATATCAAATATTTAATATTTCAACAAAATTTAGTGATCAGCTAAACACTTTTTGGCAAGAACTTAATATAAAATATTTATATTTTTTTAGTTATTTTATACACATCATTGCACTTCCTCTACAAAAACCATAAAAAAAAAATCGGCACACAAAGCAGCAATGACTCAAAAAATCGTAGACCATGGAAACCGAAAAAGGTGTGTAGGATTTCCTTTACGGATTTATTTATGATTTTTTTTAACTTATACATATGTGCATTTTGATTTTATTTGTATCTTTTTCAATTTTATTTTAAATTTTTTTTTTCTTTTTCGGTTTTTTTTTATTTTTTCTTTTATTTTTTAGTTTTCAAATTTTGTATTTTTTTAATTTTTCTTTTTTCATTTTCATTTATTTGCACACTTTTCATATATTTTTGTACAATTTTTTTTTTTTTATTATTTTATTTTCGAATTTAGTTTAAGTGAAACGCTGTGCAATCACTCCATGGCGTATGGCTCATTGCGCATTTTACTTTGTAGTCAATTGTATTTAGGGTGCGGCAGCGGTAATGGCAGTGTCAGCACACTGTCGACGTAGTGCCACCAAATCACGGCCAGAACAGCGCGTTCCACAAACAACAATTATGTGTACAAACATACATACATATGTATGTATAATGGGTATGAAATGCATGAATATGCTGGCATGTAACTGTTATATGTATGTAAATATGTACATATGTATGCATGTACCGCCACGTACGGTTCTTGGCAAAATGACGGCGCGACACACTTTATGCAAACAACGTTCAAACATACACACGCGCACATTAGTTGACTTTGTTGGTCAGCCAGCTGAGTTGATTGAAATATTTACATACATATGTACATACATACATATCTACATAATATTATTAGCCGTTTGCTTGGCTGGTTAGTGGTTAGCTGGGCCGTTCTTGAAGCTCGAACAGACAGCTATTGTGCGCTATAAACTTGGTTTGCTTCTTGACGGTGTCAAAAATGCAATTCGAGTAAAAAAAAAACAACAAAAACACAATAACACAATAACACACAATGAGTATAAAAATACTTTGTAACTCTGTAATATTTAATGGCATACAGGTAACACACACACCGCGCGTATCGCTTCGCTGGACAGTTGGCGAGTAGACATTTTATACTAACTGACAGCAAAATCAAAAAAAAAAAAAAAAAAAAAAAGTTATATTAGAAAACGCAATAGAAAAAGCTGAGCTCAGCGTAACTTAGCTGAACTAAACTAAACCGAACTGAAGCACATAAGCACACGCACAAACACAAGCGCACCAGTAAACACGCGTTTTATATAGTATAAATACAAACGGGAATATTGCGCTTAGACAAGAATAAAAGTAAAACGTTGAAACCGAATCGGACCAAGTGTTGGGCCAAAATGGCATTTTAATGTTGAAAAAAAAAAAAAACAATTATAATAATAATAATTTTAGCACCGTCAGTAGTGAGTATATAAATATGTGAAATAGAATATGTACGCCAACAGAATTCGTAATCAAAACACAATTTCAGTTATTATTAAACGCGTTGATGGCAGGAGCAGACAACACCGCGATCACAGCACAGACTGAGTTTACACGAAATGTGAGCGCGACTGACAAGCAGTAGCACAGCGCGTACTAGTGTAATGCATGAAAAGATCGCCAACCAAACAACCGACCGACCGACCGACCGACCGACCGACCAACCGACCGATCGCCGCTTTGTCTTTTTGTTGTTTGCTGCTTGTTGTATGTGTAAACGAAACTTTACCACTTTTTTATGGTCTTTTGCTTTTTTGCCTTTTGTTTTCGTTGTTTTAAACACCCGCCAGTGGCACAACGAACAACCAAAGCGATGAGCCAACAAAAACAAACTGAAAAGCACTGTCAGTGAAGACAGTCGATCGACAGTGAGAACAACAGCAAAGTAGCAACCCAGTAACCAGCGTGTATGAGTGTGTGTTGGTGGCGCTGGTGGTGCCTGTTGCAGTTGGCTGCAGTAATAATCAACAGCAACAATATATGTAGTAAGTAGTGGCAGCAACAGCAGGCAACAGTATGAAAGGTAATGCATTGTGGTAACAAATTTACACACAGACTCAAGCGCAAACGGTTACGGCAGCTCTCACAATGCACACACCTCTACTCGGTGAGTTCAAAGCAGTACATAGTGAGAGCATGTCTAATGTTAACATCAAAACATGCCTTTCTTGTAAGCGCTAACCGATGATGTTGATGATGATGATGATGTGTTGGCTCGAAAAACGGTAGTGAAATTTGTTTTTGGCTCGCTCCCAGCTGGAGCTCTCGCGTTTGTGTGCTTCAAGCTGGTTTTGAGTCAACTACAGAATTATGAAGTTGAAGGCTTGGCAGTTTTCATTTGTGCATTGCTTGTTGTTGGGTTTTACTTTTATTTTTTTATTGTTAACAGTTTTTTTTCTTCTTTTTTTTTTTGTTACAATCATTTCAGAGAGCGCAATTGAGGTGTGTTCTCTTTTTACGGTGAATATGAGTAGTAACTGATGTGTTATACACATATACGTATAATATATACATGTGTACATACATACATACAGATGGGTATATTTTAGTGAAATTTTTGTATATGTATGTGTGTGTATATGCGTAAACTGCGGAAGACGTTTTGGTCACCCTTCCTATTTTGCTGCAATGAGAAGAGACGCATTTGCAATGCTAAGCACGTTTTGGGTTTAAAGTACTTCCTTTTCGCTATGCATATATATTAAGTGAAACTGCAGCGCATATGAGTAAAGAATGTGAATTAAAGGATTTTAAAATTAAAATATAACAAAAAAAAAATACAAATTAGATTTTGTTAAAGCTTCAATACAAAAAAAATATTAAAATATATATTGATTAATTAATAGAATAATGAATAACAAACGCGCCTAAATATATGCAGAGATCTTTAGCATACATAACCTAACTATTTGACATATTGTAGTTTGAAGAACAAGCAATTGCGCCTAAGAG